ATTTTAATATAATATGATAGTTTAATAGTAGACCTGCGTGTACAAAAGGTATGTGATTTCAGACAACTCTGATGTTAGCAGGTTAAAGAAAGAGAGATAAACAGCTACATATTTTCCTGTTCATGTTCAAAAATATAATCTAAGATTGTCACTTATATAATCCAAATAGTAGGCAAAAACTTTAATGTGTTTATTAATGACGGACCAATTTAAAGAGATCCCTCATTAAACGTCATTACCCTGGTTCACATTTGGCAAGTCATCGCACCTGAGGTTAATGTTACTGATATTTTTTTCCTTATCATTTACTTTGTGTTTATCAGTAATCTATCTAAATTATACCTATAACTCAAAGATAACTGACTGACAAAGTGATCTATCAACGCACAGCCCAAACCACTGGACGGATCGGGCTGAAATTTGGTATGCAGGTAGATGTTATGACGTAGGCATCCGCTAAGAAAGGATTTTGATCCATTCTACCCTCAAGACGATAAAACAGGGGATGAAAGTTTGTATGAAACTTTGACAATTTTAAACCGATCGGGCTGAGACTTTGCATGCATAAAGCTACTATGACGTAGCCATTCCCTAAGAAAAGATTTTGATAAATTCCACCCCTAAGGGGATAAAATAGGGGATGAAACTTTATTTCAGGTATTTTACACGATATAATGAATAACTATTCGTTAGAAATGCTGCTCAAAATAACTTTAGCACGTGGACGAAGTCGCGGGCAAAAGCTAGTTTATTACATAAATCAAGTAACTCAATTGAAATTTTAGTTATAATCATCAATCTAATTTAAAAATCCATTAAGAAACACCAAAAAGGTCTAATTTAACCGTCGTAAAAATCGAAAAGGTAAGGTTATAGGTAATGTTAGAGGACGATGTATGATGTTTTTTTTCAATGTTAGACAGCATATGGGCTCAAGGGAATCCCATATAAAATTTACAGAAATCCAATTAGTAATTTTGTTTTATAACAAGTCAAAATATATTTTCACTAAATATCAACAAATTACTTACTTACATCAGTGAAAAAACAAAAGATTTATAATGCTAGTTATTGTTACATAATTATATTTTATTTTTTTACAAAAATTTAGTTTCCATTAAGTTTCTCTAGAAAGAAATTATATAAAATCTTAGCATATTATAATCTTTTTTATAACATAAATAGCTTAAACAGTAATAAATGTGTATGAGCCACATTACTTATTTTTAATATTAAAAGTATATCAAAATGTTGTTTATAATTGTTATTTGTTGACAAATAATAAAATATTTGTTTAATTAATTATAATCTTTTATTTACCATTATTTAAAATTTTATAGTAATAATTAACTTAGTAATGTAACTCATTTAATGTAAGTTTTGTAACATTATTATTAATTTTGAATCTTAAATCATGTCAAAATATACAAGTCACAGTGTCACAAAACTAAATTTTCAAATAATACCCCATAGGATTATGTGTTGTGATAAAATTAGGTTAGTAATCTTCAATACGCCTTTGTTTTATATAACTTTTGCTGAAAACCAGATATGAAAATATTGCACAAGAATAAATAAGCTGAATTCTGCGCTCCGCTTTTTGTTCTTCATTCTGAACCTGAAATCGGAAAAATCGAGTCATTGAGGAAGTATTTAAAAAAAATAAAGAAACTACAAAAAATTATGTCACAAGATGGCAGCACAAATTGTTTGATCTAAACGTCAATTCATGACGTTAAACCAAAGAGAATAGAATTGTCAGTGTTGTTATGGATCTGATAACTTTGATTAATATCAAGTTGGAATATAATTAGTTTGAGATATACAATCACAACTCGATTAATACAAAGTAATCTTTTCCACAAATAATGAAAAAAAGATAAACGTGAAACCCTTTAAAAAGAAAAAATAACTTTTACATTATGACTCTATATAATGAAGAAGTATTTAAAAAATAAAAATTAGTTCTTGAAATCATATAAGTTATCACTCGCGATGTTTAGATTTTGTTTATGATATTCATTCAAATTTTATTTCTGACGTGATAAAAGTAAATTGAGTATCGAAAATTAATAAATATGACATTGTTTTGTGTTTCTTAAAATATCTAACTTTGAAATTAATTTAAATCATAAGTTTAAGTTGTTTATTATTTTACGTGGAAAGGAACGATGTTTGGTTTATACGTCAACATTAGTGATGAGCCAACTTATTGGTTGCTCGTAACTTTCATCCGAATTCAGGTTTGGAATTAAGTACAAAAATTGGAGTGCAGAATTCAGCTTGTATTTGTATGTGTCATTATGCATCCACCAAGCGAATGATATTAATATAAATATCAAAATCAATTCAGTCTAGGCTGTTATATATTACTTGTGACAGTCGAAAACTTCGCCGATTCTTGTCAGTAAAACTTTTACTGACAAGAATTAGCAAGAAACTCAGCAAGGGCTGCTTTTTTAATTTGAACTATACAACTCAACTATATTATAATTCAGGGAACGTAACGACCTAACGCACACGACACCACTGCAGCGATTTTAAGAGAGTATGACTACTCTAGGTACTTAGTAAATAATATATTTCAATAAAACTGATTACTAGAGTAAGTTGTGTAGGAAGTTAATTTATTATTTACAATATTATTGTAAGAACCAAAAAGTACATAGCCACCGTACGAATTTACTTAACACATGGCTCGATGTCCGACGTCGACATGCAAGATCAGTAGCAATAGTTTAATAACTGTGCGTGTCTTTGTGATTTTGAAATTTAAAGTTATAACCTTGCTGATCGCTTAGAACAGACGTTTCTTGCTGATTGCTGAATGTTTATTAAGATGATTTAATTATGAATATAAGATTTAATAACTGATGATAGTTTTTTAAAGTCTTGATTTTGAAATTTAAAGTTATAACCTTGCTGATCGTTTAGAACAGAGGTTTCTTGTTGATTGCTGAATGTTTATTAAGATCATTTAATTATGAATATAAGATTTAAAACTGATGATAGTTTTTTAAAGTCTTAATTTCGAAAGCACAAGTTTTTGTAGGTTTCACTTAGTACAAACCTCATTTTAGCCAGAAGTCATGTTATTTTGTACGAATACCTAGGATATTTGATACATATCGGGTAAGTATATTGATATAAACGTATTTTAATTATAATTATCGTTGTATGACTTTTTTTGCTGATTAATAAACCTTATTCATTCATTTACCATACATAATATAAATATATTATTGAGACTTGATATAGTTTTGTTGTTGTAAGTGCAAAAAAAAACAACTAATAGCAATAAAACTAACTTACCTAGTTGTTATTGTTTTCAGAACTTTTGTTAAATTACAATTTATGGCATAAGTATTTTATTTATAAAAAGTATTTAGCGGTAATATTATTGTATACTGTAGCTAAATGCTACTTTTAATTATATTCAATTGATTTCCATAAATTTAAAAAAAACCTCTGTGCTCATTTGCATTATGTTAGTTTCCATTTTCTCTATACAAATAAAAAAGAAATTGATTCAAAGATTACTTTGTATTAATCGAGTTGCGTTTGCAAAACTCGAACTACATAATTAAATTTCAACTCGATATTAATCCGAGTTATCAGATCCATAACAACACTGACAATTCTATTCTCTTTGATTTACCGTCATGAATTGACGTTTAGATCCAACAATTTGTGCTGCCATCTAGTGACATAATTTTTTGTAGTTTCTTTATTTTTTAAATATGATGATAATAAGGAGGCTCATTACAGACAACAGTATGTCAGACTATTTATTTTACTTTGAACTTTGCGCTAATATTGAACTGCAAATACCTTGACCTGCTGTTGACCGTACATTTTATTTTTTTGAAATAAATGTTGTCGCATCGGGGGAGAGCTCTTATTTATTAGCCTAACGTTTCTAAAGCACATACATGTGGCGACTGATACATAGCGACATCTAATTCATCGCAGTAACATCGCCACAACAATCGATAGCGAGAAGACTAGCATCGTCACAGCCATCGATAGCAAGACAAACTGGAATAAGTTTCAACAGCAAGTAACGAGATGGCGCTGTACCAATACAAACAGCATAAATTAATAACTACAAGACATTTAGAACAAAGAAACCTACATCACACTGAATAAGTTTAATTACTAATTAACATAAATAGAACGTCCAACCTACATCGGTTGGACCGCGGTCCCCGGGCTAACTACACCTAGCTCGGAGGGAGACAATTATCCTTTAGTCTCCCTGGCCAGTTGTCTCCATCACCACAATAGGAACACCAACCTTCAACCTTACGGTTCCTAAATACATAATATTTAAATAATTATGAAGTATTCAATGCAATATTAGAAGCACAGCATAGAAGATGGATTTACTAACTCGCGCGCGTTTTGTGATGGATGAAACACATCTCGTAGCAGCGCGGCGTGCGGGCGGAGCGTAGTGGGTGTAGCGTTATCAAGTGTGGCGACCCGAGCGAGCAGACACGAAGAGCGGTCCCCCAACGCAACCACATTTAATAAAAAAAAATCTATAAACTTATAACCACAGAACAATAATACTCTACGACTTATAACACCCTGTCCTTTTTGCGTCGGGGGTTAAGAATAAAAGAAAGTAAAACAAAAACTAGGCACTTAACTGTAAAGTTTGTACATTATTGTATTCCTGTGGCATTATTATGTTATTAATAAACAACCTTAGCATAAGCCACCATTTATTGTCTTGATTGAAGTGTGAGTAGATATGGTACACTAAAATTGCAGGTATGCCGTGTCCAAGTACTTTAAGGTCAATGGTTATACTACATCACCTCAAGGATAAATAACGATTACTTGACTTTATACCGATTCAATGACCGTCAAATTCAGATCGACATGCCTATATTGACAATCTGTCAAATTTAATCGTAATCTGCAGATAGCTAATTGTCCAAGTGTATATTTATTTAAAAAAATGTACAGTATCGAAATAATTTAGATTAAAAATGGACGACAACGAATTCTTCAGCCAAACAGTTCAACACCTTGCCCGATGTTTATCTAATATAAACCCAACGCCATGGGAAAAGGTGGGTTACAACATCCTCACTGTTTTGCAATGTTGTTATAAAACAACTGAAACTAATAAAATATTAACAGTTGCAAACAAATAATCAATACTTAAAATACTTAGAAACTTTTTAAACTGAATATTTATGTTGACCATGTTAAAAATGATCTCATTGACCATGAGACGGACAGTTGTTTATCACCTGTGAAATAAGGAAAATTATGATTAATCAACTCAAAGTATATAATATAGTGTTAACTACAACTTATGAAATATAAAAAAAATTAAGTATGTATGTAGCTGTGTATACCATAACACATAGTGTCCCTTATCAGCATTGCCACTGCATAGTGACCTTTCTATGAATATATCACTGTAAGACTTCTGGCACCGCTTAATTACAATGTTGCCTTTGACAGTGTGTATGTATGATAATGATAAGTTTCAATCTTGATCCATTGAACATCATTGGAGGCATATACAGAAGCGGATCAATTCAATTTTGTAGTTTCGTGGAAGAATTTTTTGACATAAAACATTATTGTAACCAAAACCTGTTCATTAAACTACTACCTAAATAGGTATAGTATTTAATTATATATTAAAGTTGATTGGTGTCTATATGGTCAACTAATCAATAATTTAATTAAGTAGTTTATTGAAAATCATTAGTATAGTAACATCTATATTAGACATATAAATCTTTTTAGGATATAAATTATCATAGCAGTAGATTATAATAATAATTATAATTGTAGTAAGATAATAAACTGATGACACTTATTTTTATTTTCCCAGGTGAACACACTGTTTATGCTTTGTCCACAAGCAAGCTCTGCGTTGGTCGTAAATCTTCGTAGTCAAGAAGCATGTATTGCTCTTGGGTTATATTTCCTACAGAGTGGTTTACAGCATCAGGACAAACTACTACCATACTTCTTGAAGGTTCTCAAATCTCTTGCAAATGCCCAATTTGAGGAACCTTTGTATAAAGTGAAAAATGCTGACCGTAAGTAGTTTTTATATAGATCATTAATTATGATAACTTATTATAAAGTTGTTATAAACACAAAAAAATGAAGCCTCGTTATTATTGCCCATTGCTTGCTTGTAAGAGTTACAAGGACTTCTTATTTTTTTAAATGAGGCTGTTTTTGATCTATATGTAATAAAATAATTTAAAGAAATCTAAAAATCTCGACAGCGTAAAAACGAATTTAAAAAATGAATACATGAATGAAATACCCCTTGGGAAGATTTGATTGGTAAAATTTGAATGGGCCCCGACTATGAGTCGTTGTGTTCTGTATTACTTAACAGAATTCTAAACTACTGGGCTTGTTTCTTGCTTTTTAGTTTTTTATTTAAGTCAAATCTTTCATGTATTCATTTTTTAATTTGTTTTTACGCAGTCAGGATTTTTGGTTTTCTTTAAATTATTTATTTTAATTTTATACTTTTTAGTTATGATTCGTTGACTTCGTTATAAGATGGTAAATTTCGCAATCAAGTTATTTCATTGAGGGAGTTAATATCGTGGGGATTATTAAGTAACTTGCGGTGATCTAAACTATTGATGATTAGTCCCTCTAGAGACCTAACTCGGCTCAAAGCAACATATGCTTTATTTTTTTTACCAAAAATATTTGTTATTCATGCTTTTTCACTGTTTTTATTTTGTTTGTATATCGTTTATACTTTAAATAAAAACTTTAATCAATAAGTAAGAAAATTAGCGAGAATGTTTTGTTAAACAACTTTAAATTGTTATATATCCGGTATTTCCATCCAAATGTTGACAAATCAAAGGTTGTCTGGAAGAGATCGCTTTTAGCGATAAGACCGCCTTTGCCTACCCTAGCATTAGTACCTGTATTGTTAATCTATTATTATTAATAATTATGTGTGAGCAATAAAGTGTATATCTATCTATCAATATCCTAAACTATTATTTAAAATGAAAAATGATAAAAGGAACCTAAAGATGATTTTAAAATACCCATTCAACAACACCCCACTTGACATAGTTCATTGATTTTTATTTTTTTTCATTTAAACAATATGGTGTCTGGTTGTAGCTGTGGTGAATTTTGAGTACTGTCATGTCTTTAGTGACACTCGCAAGGTTAAGACGAATCGATTGACGTAAGAATCATCATAGTCGGCCTACGCATTTGGTCTCTAGAACGCCACATAGAAACAAACATACAAACATAGACTGATAAATACATTACCCTTAATGTGTTTATCAGTCTATGTATGTATGTATGTTTCTATGTGGCGTATGTATGTATGTTTGTTCAAAGGAGGGCCTTTGCGTCGCCTAGTAGGGTAAAATGAAAATATAAGGCATTTTTTGCCTTATTTTTACGCTTTAGTCTATACTTACACAGCTAAAGATGGTGTTTGTCATGTTATATTCATATGTTCTAAAACAAAAATTCAATAGTAAGTTGAAATTCTATTAAAATAATACTTAAATAATAGTTTTTATATCACAAAATATATCCTGAATTAAAAAAAAATGTCTGAATTTAACATTTAACACCCTTCATCTTGTTCCTAAGTTTTTTTCTTTTCAGCATGACTTAACATTATGAGCTTACACAAACACAAACCTATATTGGTCAGCCTTAATTATGACAAGGACAAACCTATATTGGTCAGCCTTTATTTCTAAGGTGGCAGCTGGAATCAGTTACTAATGGGATTAGTGACTACCAGCTGACTCCTCTGGCAAATTCAAATTCATTAAGCCACATTGTTGCCCATGGGGCCCTTAGGGTTAATCGGCCTTGCTGCAGGGTAGGATAAAATCGAAGTATTTTATTTGCACAATGAAATCAAACCCCATATTATTCCACATTATTCTTGTAGGCGTGTGTGCGTAATAAAAATATATAATCATCATTTTTTTTAACATTTTTATATTAACATCAATTTTATCGTCAATATTATTATAATGTATTTATATTCATTTGATTTTAAATTAATAGGATAGTATCCAAGGTTTAAAATTGTGAGAACAAGACACCAATAATAGCTGTCATTGTGTGCTATTATTGGTGTCTTGTTTTCTATGTGCTGTGGTAAGAATAGAAGACAAAAATAAATTTAAAAGAAAGTTATTTAATGAAGTTAAATATGTTATACTATTTTAGTTTAATCAAATGTTAACCACTATCACCATTCTGTCCGCTGGCTCCAGTTGAACCCCCAGCACCTGCTTGTCCTCCGAGTTGGCCAGAAGCCCCAGCATTAAACCCAAAACCTGCACTAGCTGTTAATAATAACATTTATTGTAAAAAGAGTTTTGATATCAAAATTAAGTGGTATTCGGCTATGAAAATTTATTTAAAATGTAAGGGTTCCCACACGCGATGCGCTGCGATAAGACGTTGCATCACGAGAACTTGCCATGTAAATTGCTGTAACACGATTTTGTGTGGCAAAGTTATGATCCAGATGACTACCTTCAATAGTAGTTGTATTAGATGTGTAAGAAATAATGACATGGATCGCAAAAAGATGATTGTTGCATTGCTGTTATTTTAAAAATATAAAGAAGAAAAAGACGAAGACATACATTTTGAATTCTTCCATTTATTACTATTATGAACACTAATGGGAACCTTAGTTGAGTAAACCGACAATACTGTGTTGTTGAGAATAGAAGATTTTATTATTAGTTTAGGATGAATCTTTTGCCGTCTTTCTCTTACGCTGAGGAGGGGACTAAAATGGCGTCACTAAGAGTGATATAATATCGTAGGAATGCGTGATGAGAATCAAATCGGAACTTCTTGTGGTGAATTCCTGCGAGCTTGCAGATATTTGCGATGCGACGCAAATTCGCAGTTATATGTGTGGGAGCCCTAAATAACAATTTTCCAAGTGGTACAGTGATAATGAATGAAAATATTAACCTCCTATATCGCCACTAGCTCCTCCACTCCCTCCTGCATCTCCACCATAATTGCCTCCACCTGAGCCTGATTAAAATTGAGACCAAAATTTTCTGTTAAAAATAATCTGACTTTAATATGTATTTAGCTAATGAACACTACACAATTATAAGTTCGTGTTGTTAAAGTTCAAGCTCAGTGTAAGATTTTTCTCTTTAACAGAAGAAAATATTCGGTATTAGCATTTTATAAAGTTTTACCTGGCTGTTCTGCAATACAATGTTGGAGGGCCTAGAAGATAAAAAAATAATATTATTGATAGGTAAAATAATATTATTAATAATATTAATCATCAATAATTTAAATTGTGAATCGTCCATTGCCATCACATTCTTTATACTTTAAACAGCTACACAATTATAATTATTCTAGTGTTTTAAAGTGGTTTTAAGTTTTACGTCTGAGGCATTTTGCTACCCGGCCAGCCATTTAGCCTCATAAAAGAGAAAGCAAAAACTAATAAATTAATGAAATTAAATCAAAGCTAAAGTGTTTATATAGATTGAGAAATTCATTCTCATATTATCCTTATAACCAGAGAATGAAAGAAAAAACTAAAAAGCCGTAAAAATAAATGTTTCTGCCACCCTTCGTGGCATTCCATCCCGGGCCATGGCCCTGTTGGTCTTATGGTAAAATTCTCTGTAGGCTTATCGCGTTCTAGATTAGCTTCGATTCTGTACCAATGGTCTATGGTCATAATAAAACAAAACTTATACAAAGTAAGGCAATACGTAGGGTTGCCAAACCCAAATTTTGAAGACTAGAACGGAAACCCAGGATGTTTTCAGTTAAAACTTGAACGCTGTAGGTAAAGAATTACCTACAGCGTTCAAGTTTTAACTGAACTTCGTTTTAACAACCAAAAGTGCTCTACCGCGCCGCACATAGAAATAAATTGCGTTACTTCATTAGGAGCCAAAAATCCAGTACGCTGCGTAAATACCTCAGCTTATGAAAAACACGATGCAAGTTAAAAACTACCGAGAACATCCCGGCACACTAAAACCAACCGGCTTAGCATGAGTGTTCTTATCGAAACTTTATACTCGATAAAGTATTACTTTCCCACTCACATTGCAGCGGCGCAAGTGAGACAACAAGGATTTATAATATTTAGATGTTCTGGGAAAACAGGATGGTTGCCAAATTTAGCCATACGTAATTTAAGACTTAATTTATTTGTTTTAAGGTTGTACATTTAAAAAAAAAAAATAATACTTGCATTAATAAACAAAGCTGCCATCAACACCAAAGTAACTGTCTTCGAAGTCATGGTGATTTATATTGCAATAAATTAACGGACTAATGCTTGTCGCTTTTATATACCGTTTGTACTATTTCTACTTTAAAAAGTTATGTAGTCTCATCATTATAGTAATTACACATAGTCAGCGTTGAAGTATATATAATTACTGGTTGCAAGGATTATAATAGCGCTGTTTATTATGATAGTTATTTTGATAGGAAAAAAATATAATACATGCTTATTTAGTATGTATTTAAATTTCATGGCAACACCTTTTCACCATTATCAATGATTATCATTTTCCTGCATTGGACTGGACTCAATTTATTTTTGGTCTTTATGTTAACATGGCCAACATCTATTATGGCTAAATTGGTTTCGAACTATTTTTAGTGACGCTGATTGTGGTTATTTTGATTTATAATAACTTTCAGAGTAATTTTGACTTACAGCTACCATGAAATCATACTATTTAGGCTCCTATTATAAAAAAAATATAGACACGTCATAAATAAACTGTTTGTTTATCGAATAATGTTTTTTTTATTATTATTTTTAGGACAACAAATAATCGCCTGCAAGTCATACAAAACTTTACCTCAGAGTTTCATTACAAAAATTTTAAAGCAATTTCTTTTAATATACTTATTTAATTATTACTGTACTATACATACTTACCTTTATTATAATAGGATATATAATAGGTTGGGGGAAAAAATTTCTTCGCATTTTATATAAAAATTTAAAAATCACTTTATAAAGTTAATTTACATTTAACTAAAGTATGTAGGTACCATTTTGTTCGATGACTTTTGACCATCTTGTAGATAGACTTCATTGCTATATAAATTCCCATAATTGTTGATCAAAAAACAGCGAGAAGTGGTTTTGGCAGTCCTCGCGTGATGTTAACCTGACACTGCCTAAAGAATTCTTAAGGTGCAAGGTCAGGACTATACAGCGAATGCATTAACAACTCCCAGCTAAAGTCTCTTAATTTTTGCTGAGTATCAAAATATGTGTGAGGTCTAGCGTTATTATGATAAAAACCGCACCCCTTTTATTGATTAATTGTGACCGCTTCTCTCAACTTCTTGCTTTAATCTCAGCAGTTGTTTGCAGTAGAATTCAGAATCGATGGTCTTGCCTCGCGGTAAGAGCTCATAATGTATAATGCCCTTCCAATCCCACCATACACACAGCTTCACCTTGTTGTGAGTTAATCCGGGTTACGCCACAGTCTGTGAAGCTGACCGACCTTTCACCACGAACTTTTCCGCACGTTGTTGTTGTACGTGATCCACTTTTCATCACTAGTTATCAGCTTCTTTAAAAATGGTTCGGTTTCATTACGCCGTAATAAAGAATCACAAATGAGTACTCGCTTTATTAGGTTTCTTTCAGTGAGCTCGTGAGGTACCTACCCAAATATCCAACCTTTTGTGTACCTAGACTTATCAAATGCACCAAAACTGTTTTGTGCTCAATCCCCAGTTCTTCAGTATATATTGATGAGAAAAGTCTGAATATAATAACTATCATTAATAAGAGTTGAAATCTTATAAAGCTATTCTTCATTTGTTACAGGCATACCAATGTCAGAAAAATTCAGCTTCTGCCTCAATACACTCCTCTCTGATGTAGCTACTAAACAGCCTTCCCTGAGGGAAGAGATCATCACAGCCCAAATAGAGCTTATGTCAAATTTAACAAATACCATTATCAGTTGTCACGAGAACAAAGATTCAAGCGAAAATGTGTCTAGGTTACAACTGTGTAAAAGCACAATACCTGTTCTGATAGGCTTGGCCAGATCTATGGGCCGGTATTCTACCGTCGATCCACCTTTACTTTGCCGGTTATTCCCTCAGCCGAGCAGTCCCGCAAAGACCAAAGAGCCTGAACCAAATTTCGAATATTCGACGTTAGACAAAAAGAGGAAATTCAACCAGTTCCGACCTATTATACCTCGTTCTTTATCAGGGAATTTGAACCCTAATAACGAGCATTTGATGGAGAATGGCTGCGACACCATTGATGGAGGTACGTTGAAAAGAGGCTCGTTGCATAGTTACCATTCCGTGCCATATGATCCCACTACATATTTCTTTCACAAATTCGGATCAAGTTTCAACCAGTTTCCATACATGAGGTTCTCCGAGTCACCTGAAAAGAGGATAAGCGTGCAGTTTCTGGTTACATACCTTCAGTCTATATTATCGACCGCCAAGAAGTTGTTAACTAAAGAACTGCTTGCGTTTTTGGATGAGGAAGCTGAGGATATCTATGCTTCTGGTCAGATACAAGTAAGAAGCTTTAATATTTTTTTGTTTGTTTTAATAATAGTGAGATTCCGTTACTTAAAAGTACTCACAAACCAATATTACGGTGTCACGCATCTCTGAAATTCCGGGTTCGAATCCCGGCTGTTTCAATATAAACTATGAACGTTTCTATACTATCTCAGATCTAAGTATTATATCTTCAATATTACATAAATTACAGCTCTAATGTTTATTTATTTGTGGGAAAATTGTCGTTTTTATTAACTTAAACGTTATCAATACAGAACAATTTAGTGAAATATTTTTTTTATGTGTTCAGGTCTTTCCATACAAATCTTTTTCGGAAACTCTTAATTTGGTGATGGTGACTTTGCTCAGGGAATTACTGCAGCACCAGAAGGATTTACCGGGTCCTTTCACAAAAGATGTACAAGTGAGTATTCTATGATAACTATAATTTTAAGTTCCATTAAAACGGTCGTCTTTCTTACATAATCTCTTCTTATTTTTTTTCCAGTATATGGAATGCAGAAAAGTTTATTATTGTTATAATAAAACAAAGCAAAGTATGTGATCAATATTTCAATATACTTTGTAAATATAAATTTGGCATTCAGATATGTTTCATTATTATCAAACTTAATTTATCAGCAAAGTTAGCCGACTCTAAATAATAACATGTCGTAGCCGTCAGTCCAACCAGTTGAAATAGTCATTCAATTGGATGAGCTAGCCCTTTAATCGAATTGAACCATTCAATTAGCTTTTCAATCATTATAAAGAAAGCTTAGAAAATTTTTGAGTTGATTCTCATTATTTTAAATTGATTGAAAAAATGTTTCAAAATATTCAAAGTGTCTTTATTCATTTAAGTCGACAATGTGCTTCGTTTAAAAATGATCCTTGTTTTCAGGAATTCGTAAAATGTCTTTTCCTAAGCGGACAGACAGAGCTACAGAGTCGCCATCATGACGCCTCAGAAAGGGAGGACAGAGAAAGCAATTTTGCCACTGTGAATAAGTTTAAAGTAAACGTAATGGCTAATTCCGCTTGTGTCGATTTATTGGTCTGGGCTATAGGCGATGAAACTGGTATGTATTATTGTTTTATATTGTTCAATACAAGGGTCATGGGCGAGGGATGGGGGGAGAGGTGGGGGCGTGCCCATTGCAGCATGTTTACTAATAAATAAAAAACATACACAAATATTGTCATCGATTTTGGAAGATTACTTGAGGTAGAGCTATAAACTTTACAGAGCGCCTCTCAATATCAGCGAACTATTCATATCAGAAAAATAGAGTTAGTCTACCATCCAACCATAAAAATATATAATTTTAAACGCCCATGAGCTAAACCCAGACCAGACTTTCTCAATTATTACCAATTGCGCCCGGCAGGAGCGGTTTGTGTGGACGTTGCCTCACTCGATCCATGGTGCGAAGTATTTGAAATTCGATCTTATGTTCTGGGTGATGGTAACATCGCCTCTTATAGCAATGTTTAATTCGAGCAGCGAACGAGACAGCGCTAAAGGGCAGAATAGCGATGTCCCCCTCGCTGTACGGTTTCAACATTGTTAAAAGAGCTCATGGTTAGGCCCCTGAATCGCGAATCGTTAGATCACCGATCCAAGATGGATCGTTTGGTGTATATAGGATAGCTTATATTGTCTTTGAAATCTAATAAAAATTATCAAATAAATAAGATTGTAAAGTGATAAAAGTGTAAAAATTTAAATACTTTTTTTATTATATATTTTATTTAGACGGCTTAAAGCAGGGATTCCCAAACTATTTTGGACAATAGACCTCCTTTTCAAGAATGAACAGATACTTTAGAATAACTAAATTATTATATCTTGTTTATTAATAATTTTGAAGTTGATTCATCACCACCAGCCCTTTTACGTCCCCACTGCAGGGGCTCAGGCCTTCCTTATGGATGGTTAAGGAGGATGGGCCATGACCCTCCACGCTGGCCCAATGCGGATTGGAGGGTATTAACGACTGCAAATGCAGCCGGGACCAACGGCTTAACGTGCCTTCCGAAGCACAGAGTAGCTCGAGATAATAATATTTTGGTCACCCATCCCGTGACCGATCCTTGCGAAAGTTGCTTAACGATTACGATCGCGGGCCGCGGCGGTTATCCACTACTTCACCGAGATACTACACTTGACATTATTCTCTAATTAAAATTTCACAAAGCAATATGATATAAAATTCAGTAGATATCAACTATAATTATTAAAATTAGTTACGTAAAGATACGATTAGATAGATCGTATAGATAGTCGTTGGCATTCCTACTAAAATGTTAGTTATTACAAGTTTTTACAGGCAATGCAACTGATTCAGTATCTTGATAGTCGCAATCAAGAACTTGTGTAATTAATAGGAGTCGATCTTAACCTCGTACATCAGTTTTCGTAGTGACAACTTGAAAACAGTGTCGACCCCAAGGGGTCAATAAAGACAACTTTGGGAATCCCTGGTATAGTGTATACGCATTTTTACTATCTAATATAGTTTTTTACTTATAATCTAACCCTACACAATGTTTCTTCATAATATAATTTATATAATTCGATATCAACACAAATATATTTTTATTTTATTATGGTTTTACAGTTGACGAAGACTATGACGTGCCGGCACTTATAAACGCTTTAACAATATTAATAGGTATCTTTTGTTGGTTTGCGAGTGACCCCGTTTGCTAACTCTAATCCGATGCTTCAGCATATATTATAATAGAGATGATTTTTCATTGACTTTCATATTATATTTTCCGAGTGAATTTGATAACCGAACGTTTTATCGAATGCATTATTGAAGCTGCTGAATGAAAAATACTTATTTAATTAAAACTGCAAAGCCTATTAACTCTAAAATATTACTTTGAAAATGTCAATTGGAAGTTTATTTTTTATTTTAAGGTGCCGATTCATTATGCGGTCGTCTGACGGAGAAAATTAATTCTAACCACAACCACAAATTGATATTAGCACATATGCCGTTGTTGATGGTCTGTCTTGAAGTGAGTATTCAGTGAGAAAAACTAACCTATGTTTAGCCGGCTAATCTTAAGTTACCCTTAACCGTAACAGCAGGTTAGTACATAATGCCAGTGCCGGATTAAGACAATTTGATGATCTAAGCAATTTTTGTATGTATACTCCCCCTACAAGCCACAGTAGGCCCGGGCCTAGAGCGGCCAATAATGGCATTATACCGAGTACTAGTGTTTGAATCTTCACTTGTTTATCCAAGATAATCTTTTTAATCAATACAAGTATACTTACTGTGTATGTTACAGATGTTTATTGTGTCAGATGCAATATAATGTTATCTAGGGCATGTTTATTTTACACTGAAATATATAAACAGATGTTATCAATTAGAAATTATATTATTACCTTAGGGCATAAAACTTTTCTTTATATATATTTAAATAAACATTTACAAATAAGTTTTATAGACAATGTCTACATTATGAGGGCTAAATCAGGGATAAATAATACTATATGGCCTAGAGCTGCCTTCCAATAAGAATCGATAAAGTCTGCTCATCCCATGGAGTAATTTTAAAACCTAATTGTGAATGAAACATTCAATGGATGAGAAGTATGTTTAGTATTTTAAATAAAAGCAATTAATAAATAACGTTTGACCGATTAACTTTGTGTTAACGAAAAGACAGTAATTTAAAATAAAATAGGTACCTAAGACGGACAGAAAAAAGAAGATTGCAATGAAGCATGCAAATCCGCCTCTGCCTAATCTGTACTAGCTCTAATACGAGCCCGCGAATTAACATTAACATCTAATTAAGCCTTAATCTGTTTATCTTTAAGCCAATCAGAATTGATTGTAAGCTGAAAGTCTATATGTACAGTTAGTGTCAAAAATAGATTTTTTGTAAACTACTTGTTCGTGATTTTGCACGATAACCTGAGATATTAATTTTTCTCCAGTATTTAATTAATTTTAACATTTGCAGGGGTTAGGCAAGTTGGCGACGAAGTTTCCAACAATAGCAAACACATCTATATACTGTTTGAGAGATTTCTTAGTGACACCTTCGCCAATTCTGTTCAAATTACATAAGTTGGAATTGGAGAAGACCGGCAAGGAGCATATGAAAGTTACTTGTAAGATATATACCTATTAATTATTTAGTAAAAACTTTTGATATCACATTTTATGACAGTTCATAAATTAAATACAAAATAAAAAATATCAAATACACCAAATTCAGTTCCATTTGACTCGATTCAGAGATCAGAGATAGATTCATTTTCAAAATTTACGCTTTCTTGCATTTAATTGAAATGTTATAAATAAATCACGTTTCATTTGCAATTAAATTTGGATTTCAAAAGTAATACTATTTTTCGGGTATATTTTAACCCAATAATTATTTTTTGATAAATTTTGAAATATTGTTGACTTCTAGATCATAATTATTTGAATACTTATTGTTCTCAGTGCAAGGGAAAGAGCTTCAAGGTCTAACGGAAACCGGTGTTCCTGTAAAATCTACCCCGTTCGAGAAACTTCGAGACGCGGCTATAGAGAATTTATGCGTGGCTCTAGAGGCCGCTCTAACTGTTGATCCATTCTGTGTACCTGCACTAGTCGGATCTGTTAGTAACAGATTGTTCACTGCTGAGACTAGTGATAGGTAAGTATAGAAATAACGCCCGGTTTTGCTTTCAGCGTTAATATATCGCACGTTGAGAATGACAATGTCACTAACCAAAAATGACGTATTTTTTACTTTTGGCAACATTTTTCTTTGGTACCTATAAACTTTAAAATGCAAAGATCCCCGTGAACGTAGCTTGCATAGAAACTGCTAGGTGGCGTAGTGACGATACGTTGTTTAGAGGAGCGGATAACAATTTCTTGAACTTTAAACGCTCATTACTCAAAATCGCATTTTTGCACTGTGTCACTATCGTTCTCAACGTGCGATATGGCTCTTCTTTTGTGGCGTAAAAGGGAGGTTCATTATTTTGATGCATATCATTCTGTTCCTGCGTAGCATCGAAATAACACGTTAAATTGTGTTAAACGAGGTATCGCTAGACTTGACCGTCCACTGGTAATAGGTGACGTACGTCACTTTAAATAAAATAAGTCGTAATTCTAAGGCGCAAAACACACTGAAAAACATCTGTAAATTTCGTATGTCGTACTAGTAAATTCGTGCACCACCGCTGAGTGTCATTGAGAAGGATACCTAATGCATTGCATTTTACACCTTATAATTAGTGAAACAAGACTCATTATAAATTTTAATCATAACTTCGGTCATGATTGGTATTGTTAGAACATTACTATTCCGATGGTAAAAGAATTTCATTAAATTTGACCTCATATGATATAAGTATAGATAACGTTATGAAATTAAAAAAATGTTTTATATTTGTAGCGAATCGTCACTTATAAGTACAAACATAGTTATAATGCTGGGGCACGTAGCTGTGGCCTTGAAGGATACACCGAAAACTACAGATACCATATTGCAGTTCTTCCAACAAAGGTAAGTTATACTTCAGTATTTAACAATCTGTAGTAACACAACAGGTTTATTTTAATACAGTTAGCAAAAAAGTTTTCATTTTATAATTTCAGAAAGCGTAAGTAGTGTAAATCTAGATTTTATAATTTGAACTTAACCTCTTAATAAGTTTTATGCCAGTTTAAAAAATCTGCGATATAATCGCAGCTATTGCGAAACCGGTTAATTGAGTAAATAAAATATTTTTCTTTAACCATGAACAGTGATAAAGAGCTTTTTCTAGTATTCATTGTTTTAATATGGATATGACTTATGTGGATATAAATACAATGTCTTTATTATAAAAGAAAACCGATTAATTTGTTTGGTTATTTAATAAATTATCAACTATTCAAAATGATGTATCTAATCAAGTTTTAGACAGGCCAAACAGAACTTTTCAACCTAAAGTCATATCCATACTAACATATTAAAGATCTGTCATAGATCTATTGTGATCGTTGATTATAAGATAAGTGGTCATATGAAATAAAATTTTGCCAGGTTATGCCGGTCTCCATCTTCGCTTGACACCTTAATAGTTGATCAGCTTGGATGTATGGCGCTAGCAAGCCCTGAAGGACCCGCCCATGATGAGATAATGAGGATGTTCACAGTCATCACAGTGGAAGCTGCGAGTGCAGCATATCATCATACCGACGATAGGAAACAATACAGGTATACATAAAATAGCATAGTGAGAGTAGTATTTCTAATGTCTATCTCAGGATTTACGATTTTTTATAACCGGAGCAGAAACTGCGTATGGCTCCCTCCCTCTACGACCCTTCCCCCACGCTGCGTGAGGCTGGATTTTATATTATCATCATATTTTTAGTTATGTCATCATCATATCAGCCGGGAGACGCCCACTGCTGGGCATAGGCCTCCCCCAAAGAACTCCAACGTGATCGGTCCTGCGCCTTCCGCATCCAGCGGCTTTAGTTATATTAGTCTATAATATTATTTTTTTATTTCATTAAAGGATTCTGAAGCATGTTCGTCAATTTGTGTGTGAAGAGATTGTAAAGTTCTGTAAATAGGTATTATGTAATAATGATATTGACGCCCCTGTAACATTGGCGCGGGGCTAATGCCCCCATCTACCCCCCTAAATTTATTTGATTAAATTAGCAAGGGCTTCGTTTTACACCTAGTTTTATTTCACAAGTAATAAAGTTAAGCTAGTTAGTAAGAAAGTTTAACGGTCGCTAAAGTTAGATTATAAATCTTTGGTCCTTATTTTGAATAATAGGAAATATTATGTCTGTTAGGCATGTATCCGGAGCTGTTCTGAACGCACTCGCTAACATAGCAGCGAATGTTCGTGGAACATCTGCTCGCCTGGAACTATTGACTCGACTCTTAGAGCTTTTCGTCCAACTCGGTCTGGGAGGTGAGAGAGCGACTGATCGCTCGCCGGCACCGGTTCTGAAAGCCTCCGGTAGTGCTGGGAATTTGGGCGTACTTATACCAGTCATAGCTGTAAGTGCTAATAGTTAATCTTAACGAATGTAAAAAGTATAATTATTATGATTTAAATGTTAAATAATATCAAATTAACATTTTAATACAGAGGTTACTATAATATGTAGTATATAATAGAGAAACAGAGTAGGTCTTCTGAGAAAATTATGTGATGTTGTCAAATATTTAATTATTTATTACAAAATGGCGGTTAACATATGTTTATACCACTTAATATTTAGTTAGTTATTAGTTTCAAATTATCGTTTAATATCTATATCGTTTATAGAGTGTTATCTATAAAAATTACTAATATTTTAAAAGTAAGTTTTACCTTTTCTTAAAAAGAAAAAAATATACATCATAAGTTATATATTTCTAGGTTCTAGTCAAAAGGTTGCCGTCGATTAAAAACCCAAAACCCAGACTTCACAAGCTGTTCAAAGATTTCTGGTTGTATTGCGTCGTGATGGGATTCACAGCTGCTGAATCAGGTAAATAAAGTCAATTTTACAACACCACATCTCTTAACACAGTCTATTTCTTATATCGATTCGAAGTAAATTATTAAGCGAAAATAAACTTTAACTATATTGCCTTTTTGATGAATTTTTAGCACTTCTATCTCTTGTGTATATATAACTTATACTGTTTATATAGATATATTTAAACGACTTGTTGTCTCTTCTTCTCTGGCCACGCCTGTAGCCATGCGAAAGCGTGAGTAAAAAATGCTTTTAGAGATTTTTTTAGATATATGTGGTTTGGTTTCCATAGGTTTTTTTGTGGGTTTATTTTATGGTGTGCTATCTATCGCTCAATAGTGACTAGTATAAAATGTATAAATAAGTAGTTATTTTGTTTTGTATTAGCTTAATTTGTAAACTACTTAGTTGATAGATTTCGGTGTTGTTTAGTTAGTAAGGTTAATTGGTATATATTTAAAAATCTAACGAATTTACTTATGAAACGATTATTTCAGGAACAAAGAAATTTGGGGTTAAAGAAATCTATCAAATTTCTCCACTTGATTTTAAACCTTAATTCTTTGGAAGTAGGGTTTTAAATCACAACCATGTGTACAAATAATAGCAGATTAGATTTTAAAACTAACAATTTGCCCCTAATTTTTGACATTACATCACTATTCATGTAAAATATCAAGTTGAATTAAAAAACTTGTTTCTAGTTAAACTGATGTGACATTGGATTGGATTTCACGAAGAATGAAATTATATACTTATTTTGGAACTGAAATTCAGAATGTAGCTATTATAAATGCAATATACTTAGTGACCTCAGTGTTAAATTTTATGTACACAGCAGAAAGGTACCCATAAATGATAAATTTTAACAATCGGTTTTGGATTTAATTGGTTTCAAATTGATTTGAGACATTCCATAGTTTTGTATACGACGTATTCTATGACAAGACACAAACAGCATCTACCATCTAGATATAACTCTACATCGTAATTACTAAGATGAACGCTATTGTTAGCCCTCGAGTGTGAAACAGTTTGTTTGATCCTTGAAACAGTTTTCGGTTTGTGTAAGAAATTAATTTTTCGAACGAGTGCGCTTCTATTATGTGTAAATCGCATTGTTACAATAGCTTGGCCAGGATTCTGAAGATATATACGAAACTTTAACAAATCCAAACTTTCATTGGACTTCTCATTGGATGTCATATCAAGGCTTATGTCAGACTAGATTAGTATTCATTTAGCTGGCATACTTTATTTGAAGTGTAGATAGTGTTCGAACTTTCTAATATAATTTGAAATGTTTTGATTGGTTATGTTTTCGAGTTGCCGATGCTGCCTAATTAGATTAGCTCTTATCGTATACACAATACAGCACAAAGATGCCTTATTTTAATATACAAATACTTAGGCTACTTTTACACATTCAAATTCAGCTTATTTAAGAAACTTGGCTCGACCTATCTGTAAATAAGGGTGATTAGCAATTTGACTTTGCTATCAAACTTCATGGACAGCAAAATTATACTTGTTGAATCCAATTAGAACAAAAATTTCTTTGAAGAATCGCAAATTCTATCAGATACGTATTTTATTTCATGTATAAAACTGATTTATGTATTTTAAAATAATGTTAAAATGTTTTTATTCAAATTCAATATGTGGTAAGTTGCAGATATACCAATGAAACATGTTACTCCTGGCTTAGCTATTATTATATTCTTTATTAGTAAGAATTGTATAGGTTGGCTTTGTGAGTGAGTTTTAGAATAATTTACTTTCATTTTGACTAATAACATATTTTTGCCAAATATAATATTTAACAAATACCTCATTGCAATTACTAATAAGCAATGATATAAAATTATGTGTATAATCAATATACTGTAAAGATGATTTAATCTTAACTGTCACTAACATGTCATAATGTCACAGGACTATGGCCTCAAGAGTGGTATGCGGGCGTAAAAGAGATAGCCGTTAAGTCACCTTTCCTAGTCTCGCAAACGTCCCTGAGATCGGAAATGCGCGAGCTCCAATACACATCGGCGGTGCGCAACGATTCTGTGTCTATAAACGAGTTGCAAGAGTTAAAGACGCAGATTTTGAATTTGTTGGAGCACCCTGCAGACGTCACAGTTATAGTGAACAAGCTGACGTTTGCTCCGTGCATGTATTTGCTTAGCGTTTATTGGCTGGAGACGTTAAGGTTGGTTGAATTATTATGTTTATGTTTTGTCTTACTGGGTTGTTACTATCATCTCTTAAACCCGTGTAGCGAGTGGGACAGCTTTATATGGAACAATAACGGTGTCCCTCTCGCTCATAGCGATTAAGTTAACGATTATTATAAGTTTCTACAGTTAGGCACGTACCGAGCGATCGAGTTTGACCGATCGGTCAGTGAAGGTTTTTTTACTTTACGTTTATTAATTTTGGTCACATTTGGAATTAACTACAAAAGCTCGAATGTCTTTTATATATTGTGTTTGTAATCAGATGCAATTTTTTTTTTTTTTGTAGAACTTTGATATACCTGAGAAACAATAATTACTTGGTTACACTGCTCAACGCTGTCCAATGACCAAACCACAGAAGGAATTGCCCGCAACTTGCATGCGACCAGTGTAACTAAGCAATTATAAAACTCTGATAGGATCACTTGTGTGTGTCTGTCCATCCATTGTTTTTTTTCTTTGTGTACGTTAATCTATCTGTCACAAATGTTTAATATGTAATTTTTATTGAACAATTTGATTTTTACTTTAATTGATAAGCAGCGATTAATGTATTTTGAAGTTAGAATTGAACAGCATATTAACTCTCCTATATACTATCGATTATAAAGTTGATTTCTTAATTTTTAAGGGTATCCAACTCTCCGGAACCAAGTTTGCAACCGATTATAGAGTATTTAAGTGATACAGCTCTACAGAAAGACAAGAGTGGCATGTGGCTATGTGTTGCTTGGTGAGTTTTTTTTTTTTTTGTTTATAGTTTGATTTTAATGAAAACTCATTCATTTTCGCATTTATAATTTTTCTTACAAATAATACTCGTACGGCTTATATTCGAAGAAAAGCGTATGCTACCTTAACTTCCACAACAGTCGCAGAATATTTTAATTATATTAAATATAGCAAAAAGTTACCTATATTAGAAATTGTTGAAATCATATTGATATCTGATTTTAAAACAATTACGTTATGCACTTTCTGCGTTTATTATATTATAGATTGTATATTATAATCATTTTTGATTTCCCTAGTTAAGAGGGTTTGTCCTTTGCAGCGTCGGTGATAAAGTGTTTCAGAAATTTCTAGACGTTATGTCGCAAAAAGTCAAGGACGAATCACGGGAACGCGAATTGGAAAGTCACGCTCAATTCCTGTTGGTGAATTTCAATCACATTCACAAACAGATACGGAGGGTAGCTGATAAATGGCTGGCGGGCTTGGTGGATCGGTTTCCGCACTTATTGTGGAATTGTAGGGTGAGTTATACTTGTATCTAACTATAAGTAATAGTGTATAAATTATATTTAAAGATATAATATTCTATCCTACTTATATTATTATATACTCTTTGTCGCAAATAAATGTATTTTATTGTTATTCTTAATGGAGTTTGTAAACCATTTAAAACTAGTTATGGAAAAGCAACACAGAACTTGTGATGTTAGTCTGCTGATCACTTGACTTTCAAGTCAATATATTAAGCTAATAAATGATAAATTGTTTTTGTTGTTCTTTTTTGTACTCACTCTTTCTGTGTCTGTCTGTTAACAAAGTGTATCGGAATTGTGGAGCGTTAATAGGTTGGCGATTTTCGCATAGGTATTGTGGTCGATGTTGGATATTCTTCAAGTGCTAAGCTTCAGTTTGGAATTGGATGCGAACCAAGAAACTCCTCTACTCAAAGTACCAGGAACAGACTTTACACTGCAGCTTCAAGACACGCTGGAAGGCAGAGAGGTAACTAGAAAGAGATTTTACTTACGACGTTTAATATAATATACAGTTGCATAACCTTAAAATTTGATTTATGACGTTAAAACGTCATGACATGATTGAGACGTACTAGTAATGGCAGCCTTATGATTAAAAGCGGAATTTTTCAGGCAACCTTGGAATGGGGTTAAAGATTAAAAAAAAGTATTATTCGGATAGTATATTCTAATATTCTATTTAACACAAAAAAATGTAGGTGAACTTACTAGTTTAAATAACAATAAGGCAGCCTTTTGTGTATTTTGTATTGATATAACGTGTAATTTCATGTTGTTTCCTGCATGTATCCTGTGCAATAGAGATTATAATATTATTATTTAAATTATGTGCTATTTGAGGGTTTTATTGGCGTTTAAAACCAATTTCATATTATTAGAAAAGAAAAGAGCCGTATTGCAACTTTATATTTATTATTTTCATGTCTTACAGCTATGGGTAGCTTTGCTGTCTTTTTCCTGATTCAATTTAAGATTTTGGTAAAAGTTTTTATACTATTCGTAGAGCATAGTCAAAGATTTCGCTGATCGGTGTCACGGGATAGTGCAAGAGGCAATGAAATGGGCCCCACAGTCTACAAGATCTCACTTGCAAGAATATCTCAATCAGGTTTGTTTGTTAAAATTAATGTTTATTTTTTATTCCTAGTAATAAGATAGTTTGAAAAGTGAACAGGTCACGAAATTACACATAAATGTAAAATTTACATTGAAATTAGATATACTGATTTTAAAACTTAGCAATGCATTATTAGCTTATTAAGTTAAAATTAAAATTCTGTTTTTTTTTTGTCTGTCTATCACGTGACCTGCATCCGCCTCTTAATGAAATAACGTCACTCGACAGAAAAATTTCAGGATCAGTCAGATTAGTCTTAAATAGTTGTGAATTTATTATATAATAGACTCCTTGATGGCGCTGTTCATATCTTATTTATATTTTTTGATTTTGCAGCAAGATCGTTGGTAGTGACTGTTCTTGCCTTTGACAACATCGTCCGTTTTCTGTACATATAGAAGTGACAACATTTTTGCGGCTATTAAAAAGAATAGATATCACATTAAAGCAAGAACAAGAAAAGCATCTTTATTCCGTCATGGTATTTGTGTATCTGATTGTGTTATATCGCAGGTCCCAAATTCAACCTTATGGCATCATTGCGGTCTAGCTTTGGCTACTGGAGCTTTGTTAGGCGCCGCTGGTTTAAATAGAATGTCAGCTCCTTTGCCTCAGTCGGCGCTGAATAAACGGCCTTCATGTGTGACACAAGACTCGGCCGCTCTATTGGCTGTGGTGTCTCAACGAAGCAGATATGCTGGCGAGGTATGATAATACATATAGAAGGAACTATTTATAAGTTAGTATTTAGGTAGTACCTAAAATATTGACTTGGCTAGTTTTTACTAGGAAATTAAATACTTATCAGAGTTGAATCTTGCGTTATTTTAAACAATAACTTGCAAATTGCGAATAAAAAAATTATGTCAATTTTTGAAATCAGTCAAACTTTTATTTACTGTAGATTTTAAGTTGTTTGCTTTATTTTATTAAGTAATGTTAGAGGATCTTATAATTAAACAATTTTCAGGATTGTCTATTGACCTTGGCACCCGTTTACATTAGATTTTAAGTTGTTTGCTTTATTTTATTAAGTAATGTTAGAGGATCTTATAAATAAACAATTTTCAGGATTGTCTATTGACCTGGCACCCGTTTACATTTTAATATTTTTTCGTTGGAGAAGTCAATTACATTTTATTGATCTTAGACACATAAAACTTGGGTATCAATTTGCACATTTATGATTTTGCTGGTAAACAATTGGAGGTAATCGACGCAGTTTACGCAAAGGTTGAAGGTTTAACGGTATTATGGCGTGTAGATAGTCTTACAGATAGTTGCTTTGCCGGCAGCGAGACCGCGCACGAAGCTGCGTTATCGTGCGTGATGGTGTTACTAATAGGGTTATGTCCTACAAGTGAAAATACTGGTTTTTGTTATATGATCGCAAATGTGGATCTCTTATAAATTCTTAACAAAATAAATTTTAAGACACTAATTTGGAAAATATTACGCTTTGAAAACTTGAAAAAAGTAGGTAAGATATATTTCACTAAATTAGTTTTATAAAATGAAAAAACTTTCATTATAACAGCTATAATATAAACGTTTAAATAACAATGATATTTCAAAGATTGCCCAGATGCCCATACGTTTATCGCTACTGTAGCACTGCGTGACATCAGTCAGTAGCTTGAATTTGTAGGGAGCGTTTCCGGTTTACCAGCAACAGTTACTCAAACATAGCACCGCGTCTCCAAAACTATTAATTGCAGATGTTACTTTTACATTACACAGATATTAATGGACTATTTATAAAAAAAATCTCAACTTCCCTATTATGCCTGTATATTGTAGGACGATTGTTGAGGAGTTTGATGGTGCGGCAATTGCAAGCAGTTACGGGACTTTAAGGGGGAGGGTGGGGGAGAAGAATTCATCGTTGAGAAGCCTTCTTACGGATCGTTAATGATCTAAATAAATAATCTCAGGTGGCCGGCGCGGTTTACGCCGAGGGAGGTGGTGAAGCGGCATTATGGCGTGTAGGTAGTAGATTACAGACAGCGCTCCGTGAAGCTTGCTCTACCGGCAGCGAGACCGCGCACCGGGCGGCATTGTGGCGTGCCACGGCATTACTAGTGCACGCGCGGCATCATCCCGCGCACGCGCATGCCGCGCCCACCGCACGTGCGCTCCTACACTCTGTAGGTCAGTATTAGGCACAGAGTGACGATTAAAGAGAGAGTTTATTTTTAGAATAGTTCCATACAGTCTGACATAGATGGCGCTAGTAGTAACTTAATAGATAATTTTATTATAAGATTAACACCTCCGCTTAATAAAATTATTTAAATTAGGAATAATGAGAAACAGGTAAAACGCCAAGCATTTTTGTGAAATATTTATGTTTGATTGATCCTAAACTTTTGGTAAAAATATCTGCTGGCATTTTAGCCGTTTCTAGATATGCATTAGCTTCTCTGACAAAATGATACCTTATATCGATATGTTTAGATCTTCGATGTAAAACTGGATTTAAAATTAGTTTTTGTGCACTTTGACAATCGTTATACAAAATAATTGGTTTTGAATTGCTTAAAATTTCACACAATAGCCTTTTCAAATAAATTGCTTCTTTACTAGCTTCTGACAATGAAATATATTCGGCTTCTGTTGAAGACAATGCTACATTTCGTTGTTTTCTACATTCAAAAGATACAACTGCATTTGATAATTTAAAACAATAACCAGAAAAAGATCTCCTGTCATTTATATCAGAACCCCAGTCTGCTAATTCTTTGTGCCTTTTAAATATTTTAATATCCTTTTCAAATGTTTCCAATGAGTCAGATCATATGAAGTATTAAATTGGCTTAGGTAATTAACACTATATGCAATATCTGGTCTAGTTAGTACCGCTAGGTACATCAAACTACCTATTAGTTGTCTATATGGATAATTATTATCACAATTATTTTGAGACCTTTCTAACTTTAAATTCATTTCCATAGGGGTGTCTACAGTTTTACAATTGAACATATTAAATCTTTTTAATAAGCTCTCTACATATTGTTCTTGATCAACTGTTATCACATTTTTCTGTACATTTACTCGCAAACCTAAACACTGCTTTATCTGACCCAAATCTTTTAATTTGAATTTACAACTTAACTCTTCAAATAATTTGTTAGTTACGATTTCACAATTTGAAAATACAAAAAAATCATCAACAAAAAGAGCTATAATAATTTTAACATTATTTTTAAATTTTGTAAACAAGCAAGGCTCATATTTAGATTTCTGATAACCTAACTTTAACAAGTAATCATTTACTCTCTGATACCAAGCACGGGATGATTGCTTAAGTCCATATATGGCACGTTTTAATTTTAATACCTTTATATCATTCTCATTAGTTTTATAAGTTATAGGTTTTCTCATATACACAGTTTCATTCAAAAAACCATTTAAAAAGGCTGTGGTAACATCAAGATGGCGAATGTCTAAACTAAGTTTTGCTGCTACAGAAAATAACAACCTCAGTGTGGAATATCTAAGTACAGGAGAAAAAGTCTCATGAAAGTCAACACCAGCTTTCTGCGAAAAACCTTTTGCTACTAGTCTAGCTCTGTATCGCACATTATTTTGACTGTCATATTTTTTTTTTAAAAACCCACTTACACTGCACTATAGTGGAGTCATGAGGTGGATCAACTTCTTCCCATGCATCATTTTCTTGGAACGATTTTAACTCCTCTTCCATACTTGTTCTCCAAAACTGTTTTTCGGGTCCATTTAAAGCTTCTTCGAGGGTAATATCTTTCTCATTGTGATGTTCGAACTCTGCAATACACATATTATTATATCCAAAGCGATCGGGTTTTTTTCTTGTACGCTTATTCAACGTTTCTGTGTTGTTTAGATTTACTTGTGAAACTTCTGGTTCGGATGCAGTGTCAAAAAAAGTATCATTTGATTCACTCACCAAAGTGTCTTCTGGAATATACGTACTGTCTTTATCATCATTTTCACCTTTCGTGTCTGTGATCTCTATACTATCTTCCAACTTTAATTCCTCCGCTGGAGCTTTGCACTCAATAGGAATATCTACCATGTTTCTTGTTTGTGTTTCCATTACGATGATATCTCTGCTTATTATAACAGAGTTTCTTACTGGGTCGTAAACTCTGTATCCTTTCACATTGTCTGCATAACCAACAAAAATTAACTCTTTTGCTTTTTTATCCCACTTCAAGCGTTTCTCTTTTGGAATATGCATCATTGATTTGCTTCCAAATATACGTATATTACTTAAGTCAGGCTTTTTACCTGTCCAAACTTCATATGGGGTCCTGTTATTTAGTCCAGTAACAACCGTTCTATTTTTTAAATAAGCAGCAGTATTTATGGCTTCTGCCCAAAACTTTTTGTGTAAACCACCATCAAAAATCAGGCATCTCGCTTTTTCAACTAATGACCTATTCATACGTTCACTCAATCCGTTCTGTTGAGGCGTGTAAGCATTAGTTTTTTGATGGATTATTCCTTCGTTGCTTTAAAAATGTTTCGAATTCTTGATTGCAAAATTCACCACCATTGTCTGTTCTTAGAATTTTAATTTTTTTATCTTTCTGGTTTTCTACCATGGACAGAAATTCTTTAAAGTATTTAAATACCTCACTCTTTGTTTTCATGAAATAAACAAACACCATTTTGCTGTAGTCATCCACGAACAAGATATAATATCTAGATCCTCCAATGGAAATATTCTCCATGGGGCCACACACATCTGAGTGTATTAATTCTAAAAAATCTGTGGTTTTAGTAGAACTCAGCTGAAAAGGTAGTCTAGTCTGCTTTCCTTCACAGCAAATGGTACACTTAGATTTGTTTATATTTGCTACATCTGCGAATGTAATGCCCTCTACAGCACCATTTTTCATTTTAATTAAATCAGTATTGTTAATGTGTCCCAAACGTCGATGCCAAGTTTCATTTGTTGCTATGGCGGTTGCTGCCAATAACTGTTCTGTTTTCTTTGTGTTTAGCTTGTACACACCTTCCACTAATTCTGCCATTCCAACAAGATCATTCTGTTGATTATAGATATAGCAAGCATTTTCTTTGAAAATCACACTGTTGCCATTCTTAATCAACTGACTCACGGAAAGCAAGTTGGTTGTTAAATTTGGTATACACAATACATCTGTGACTGTGATATCATATTCCACATTATTCACAACTGTAACAATGTTAACATCACCAGAACACAGCACAGGGACACATGTTTGGTTCGCCACTAATATCTCTTTAGTTTTATTCTCATATGATGGATTTTCTATGTATTCTATTTTTGATGTCATATGCTTACTAGCTCCACTGTCAATGTACCAGTTTTTACAATTAAATTTTCCATTCAGAAAAATTGCACTAAAAGCATTTGTTTGTCTTCTTGTACTGCTTTCATAGTTGGGGCACTGGTTTTTATAATGACCTGTTTGTTTGCATTTGTAGCATTTTATGACTTTTGTAGTTGCTTTTGTCGTATCAACTGATCTGGTGTTTACATTTTTTGTGTTTCTATATTTTAACCGATGCCCACCTTTCGCGACAAAAGCGTTTTCTGAAACCTTCTCAATTTCACAACACATATCCATCAATTTTGTTTTAATAACGTCTGCACTTATTTCAATGCCTGAATGCTCTATGGCCATTAACATAGGCCCATATTTTTCGGGTAATCCTGCTAACATTAATGCACCGATCCATTCATATGTGTATTTTTTGTTTCTCCTTTACATGTCGCACTGGAACGTCGTTGTAGTAAGATTGTTTATTGATGTTAGGGGGCCAGAAAGTAATATGGGCTACTTTTTTACTTTGGTATATTTTAACACGTGGTTGAAGTTACTTCAAGAAAACTTAGATAGTGTTATAAACTGGTGCATATCTAATCAGATGTATCTAAATGTTGACAAGTGCCATCTTCTCAAAATAACGAAAAACAAAAAGAAATTCTTCCAATCCCATTATAACATAAACGGTTCTACCAGAAATGTATAAGATTCGTCTCGCCAATCAATACATAGAACTTTTGCGCTATTTACAATAAGGACTAACGTTTTCAGAATGCGCCACTTTTCCGTTGCTGATAGAAGTATACCTATCTAAATATTACTGATGGAATTGATATTTTCCTCAACTCTTACCTAAATTTAAGAGCAATATTCTGCAATCATTAAGTTATCAGTGTGTAGAATAAGGTGTACAAATATTGGAAAACTTATTGTAATTATATATTTTTCACTTATATTATATAATGGTAATAAATATTTTAAACATTATTCCTATAGTAATTGTTGTGTACGTCGGGAATAAGTATATGTTAGGGTGTCCCTTATATTCAGAGTACTTTATATTTTTACGCATACTCTTTTAAAACGTTATTTTTAACAAATATTAATAGGAATAATAAATAGGAAAAAAATTTGGATCATTTAATAAACGATAACCCGCGCCGACTTACGCTGCGCCGACTTCCTTTTGTCATTTCATAAACAATTTTTAAGAAAATCAGTTTGTTACTTTTTATTTCATTAATATGTTAATAGAATTACGGAATTATAAAAAAATATTTTTAATATGTTAATAGAATTACGGAATTATAAAAAAATATTTGCCTAGTTGCAATAGCCCTCAAATAAATGGGGCCAAATTAACGTATCATCGACAAGATTTCACCGTGCTATTTTAAAATATTATCCAAGTTAACCGTCAGCGAAATTACAGATCTTGTAATTAAAGAATAAAGTATATTTCAATAAGCTAGAATTGCACTCGCTATACTTTTTAAAAGATAACAACAGATGAACATAAGATGCATCAGACAAAATTAATGATGGCGTTCTATTCTTAAAAAAAAAATAGAACCGACTTCAAACTTAAAAAAGTGAAAATAATACTCATTTCAAAAGCGATTTATTCAAGTAAATGCTATTTAATCATTTAGTTAATAACATACAGAACCTCCGCCCGACTTTAATAGCGTTTTCTTGTCTTGATGATCTATGATATCCCATCTTATTTTGTTACATAATTATTATGCTAAATTTATAATCTATTTTAGCATGGTCTCAAGTTGAGATATTCACTGAAGATGCAGTGAGTACCGCCGTAGAATGTTGGCAGTGGTTAACTACGGCGAGGCCAGATTTGGAATTGCGTTTATTGCAAGAGATTTTCGCCGCGTGGCAGTGCACTGTTGATAGAAGAATGGGATTATTCTCTAAGCAGGTGGAGGAGATCAGTCCTCTAGCTGCTTATGAAGGTAAATAAGCTATACGTAACATAAATATTAATTATCAAATTCGATTTGAAGAATAGTTTCACTTTTTGTCATAATGTTATCATGTAAACAGCGTATGGTATAAACTTAACTTCGCAGAACATCGTTCGGCATACAATCATTTTGAAACTCATAATTTCAAAAGCCAGATCTTTGTGAATACATTTTGTATCTATAATAATGAAGATACGAAACCGTTTTTTCTCAAAGTCAATCGTTGGTGGAAGTAAAGACACCTCCAAAGTGGCAAAATGCTAATAAAATATGTGTTGTAGATTTAAATGAATACTTTCAACAAAAATTTGTTTGAACGAGATATAATCAGCAGCTTTTGAGATATAGTATGTTTTCGAAAACCGCAAACATAACTTTCTAATTTATATAAACTATAAAAAACGTACGGACCCTTTATTTCATCTTAAGTGAACACGGAACCTGTGAAGGGTCGGAAAAGTCATGAAATCAAATATAAACGCCCTACACCCGTTCAGAATACTGTTATCTTACAAGTGCATATGAAAATATAAGAAATCAGTTATTTAATTACTATGAGAAAAATGTAATTTTTGCTAATCCATGCATCAATTTATGTATGCTATGCTATTGCCCTTTGTATGCGATTCCGACATGCATTTTATAACTACCGATATTTTTATCGTCAGGTGCTAAACTAGAGCCTCGTCCGCCATTCGTTGCCCCGCATGCAGTATGGGTTCGATACATATGCGAGGTAGCCGAAACTGCAAAATACAATAGTCTCGAAAAAGTCGAAATGCTGGCCAGTCTCCTGCACAGGTATATTCCTTAATTTAAGTTAATTAAATGACTTCAGCGATATCTAGCGTCCTCAACGTTGACAGCTTTGACGCTTTGAAATTAGGCGTGTTATTACAGACAAAATATAGAAAATCGTAAACTATGTGTTATTTATATAAAAAAAAAACTACTGTGATTTGGGTGGACAGGGTTGTTAAATTATTTTTAATCATTCAAATTTATTTAAAAAATGTGTTTTATTTTAGTTATGTCAGAATTTATTTAGATCATTTTTAGTTGCAATTTTACTATAAAACAAGAAATTAGAGCACCTTTGACAATAATTCTAGTAAACATACTATTATAGTTAGTAATAAATGAATATGTTTTTTAGATCGAAATGAGGACCGGGTATCACTCACAATATAAAATAAAAACTTTGATACCTTGCAATGCCCAAGTTTTTTAAAGTAGATAATAATCTGCTTTGGAATTCATAATCACAACTAAATTTTTGTTTGAATATTAATTTGATTGCAGCTGAATACAGCACGACTAAAGTACCTACCTAAGTGATAACAGCAAATATAAACATTATTTTTATTCATAGTATTTAGAAAATACTCGTACAAATAATAGGGAATAAGCGTCTGATTCAAAAAAAGGGTTTAACATATAAGGATTATTATTGCTTTCGAATAAAGTCTACGTAAATATTTTTTAAACATTTGTTCGTTTTCGTTTTGAAATAATTGTTAAATGTGCAAAAAAATGCGGTAACTTCAAAATATTCAAATACCATGCTAATTGACAGAGCGGATGTGATAAAAATGTACACGTATAGGGATGTCGTTTTTTATTAAAAAGTTAACATCGATGCAATAACATCAATGTATTATGTCGCAAAATAAACAACTGATTACAATTTAAATAATGTTCTAGGCTTTTATTTTTATTTCACTTATTTAGTAAACTATATAATTTATTAAAAAAGTCTATTATACTTTAAAAAATGGGTAATTGAATAATAACCAATCACTCAAAATCCATGTTGATTTAAAATGTCATATCTCTAGTCGTGACTTTAACGTCACGATAAGCGCGCCAAAAATGCCGGCGTTTGAACAGCTCGTAGCTATTACTTATTTTCATTAATTATTAATGTTATAAAATTTTAGTTTTCGGTGCATAAAAACATTTTCTAAAAATGTGCATATTCCCCCTATTATTATAATATAAAAGTAATCAATCGGAATATTATTTTATTTTAAAATATGTATAAGTAATGTAATCTTGGTTTGATTACAAAAAAAAAATATTATCAAGAAAATTTACATATAAATTACAGCACATTTTATTTATTGTTTCAACGATTCCTATACAAATTATGCTTAAGTTATAACGTCTAATTATTTAAATTTTCATTTGTCTATAGATCTCTCCCTATAACGGTTGGTGACACAAGAGATCATATAAATCGACACGTTGAAGCAGTGGGAGTGAGATTTAAGTAAGTCATTTACTAACATTAATGTATTGACGTTATCACCCACAGTTGGGTCATTATAATAGGCCATCTCTCAGTCTCAATTTCAAAGTAACCTTATAATGTAGCATATTATTATTATATTTTATCAATTTTGCGTTCACAATGCTATACTAAAAAATATTCTTAATAAAAAACTTTTTCGCTGAAACTCTGAGATGGGACCCGAACTTGCAAACATCTTTAATTCGAATTTCTCTGTCTCTATTTGCCGTGGGCAATGAGATACAAAGGTGTTTTGGAATAATTCCCACTCATTAAGTTTTTGCATTACGCTTAGTTATTCATTTATTTCTTCTTTTATTCTTGTAACAAACTCGATTTAATAATCAATCTCACAAACATTGATAATATCAATTTTATTCGACTAACATTTTTTTTTAAACCATATTGATTCGTAAAATTAAACGAAACTTTTGAGAAGAACGCTTTACTATTAATTTCAGATTGATAGATCTCAAATGAGGCTTTTTATAATGACCCGACCGTAACTAAACCGAAGAAGCTAGAGCTATTTTTAATCGATCATATTGTATATATTAATGTGTATATTAATGTGGAAATATAGTTTTAAAATAAATGAAATCGTAATATTTGGATCTTTTTTTATATTCCAAGAAATTGTTCGATACAATTTTTATGTAATCATATATTGACGTTTTCTAATAACATATCCAGATTAATAACATTTTGTAAGTAGCTTAAATAGGTTCATATACGTATTTCAATTATTGGTTTAGTCATCCTAAATTTAACATTAATACCCTTTATTACAGGTTGTTATCGTGTGGCTTATCACTTCTTCAAGGAGATATTCTTCCACGTTCTATAGCACGTAATATTTTACGAGAGAGGGTGTACAGTGCCTGTCTCGACTATTTCTGTAGAGGATTGCAGTGCCCTGCGAAGAACTCTAATGCGTTAAGAGAAGATATAATATCCCTTATCAAGTTTTGGCAGTTGATGCATTCCGATAAGAAGTATTTGAAAAGCAGTGACATGGGAGGTATGTTATAGGAACAATTTATTACATATATAAGTACTATATTTTTATATTAATATATAATTTGGTGAAAATCATTTATAATTTCTCCACCCTTAGGCCATCCAAAAGCTCATTTATTACAAAAAGTAGATGCATTTTCTATAACGTTTAAGAGTGACACTCTTATCAGATTTACATTGTTCCCCGGCAATCAACTTGACTCCGGGTAATGAAACTGACAGAAAAATGCATTTCTAAATAAATTTAATGTCGATATCGGCACACAGCAAAATTATATTTTTGAAAGTCCAAGTCGTTAGATGACGATAAGAAAGCATTTCTTTAAAAACTTTAATGATTCTAAAAAGAGTAAAAACTTGGTGTCGTACAGCGAAGATATACCTTCATATACCTCTTACTTTCTATGATCAGCGAATGCAGTTTCATGTGTATGGTAATAAAGTCTAAAATCTCCAGGCGAGTACGAACTGATGGGGCCAAGCAGTCAACAGAGTATGTACACGGCTAACTCACCCACCGATAATCGTTCCTCAGTGAATAGTAGTGATATCGGCAGCAGACAAACTACCGGATGGATAAACACGGTACGCATAATTATCCTTTATCATCTATCTATATATTTTGTTAAAATGAAAAACATCGACTACTCTTACATTTTTATACATGTCCGAACCACCGAAGCATACCTATTTGTTTTATACTAACTCAATTTTTCAGGGCAACTTTCTTTCTTGTCTCTTTATCATCAGTAACTTAATGTTCCCGCTGATGGGGCTTTATTATATATGAAATGACAACATTTTTACCTTGAATGTCGTTAATATTATTCATTATATCTCGTAGCACCTTCTGACGCAGGAAGTTGAGATTATACGTGCCATATGTAAGAAGTAAGTGCCGACTAAACAGCCTATTCTGCGGCAGTACAATTTCTCTGAAGCAATCTTGAGCAACTAATTTTCTTGTACATTATAGAGAAAATTAAAAGTGCATCTATAAATATTATTTTTATTCATAAACGGTAGAATTTCGAAATTATTCATAATTGCCTTTTTTAGTCACAAAAAGTTGCTATGAGCTACAATTGATTATGTTACTTTTCAACACCTAATATAGAGCAGCAAGATTTCAGTAAAGATGTAATAAAATAATTAAAATTACACACAGTTTAATTTTTTCGACTTGTAGGTTCCCATGTCTACGACTACGTTAAGCAGCGGCGCGGGTAGCATAGCGGGCAAGCGTTCCAACCGCAGCGTTAAACCGCCCATCAAACCGCCAGACACTTTCGTAAAAGATTACGTTCGAAAGCGTAACCTTATATTGGAATTAATGGTAAATATTTAACAATAAATAAAAGTAAATACATCGTACGCGGGTGACAGGCTATAATTGACAAGGGCAAAAACAACTTGTTATTTAAGAAGAAAAGAAACCATATAGGAATTGAATTATTGTAGCGCATATTATCTTTAATACAGGGTCATTTGTAAAACACCAGCAACCTCTAAATACAAAGTGAGCTAACTCATAATAATCATGATATCTTAAGATCTGTATTTAATTTATAAACCAAAGGACGATAACTATGCACCCACATTTAGTGAAGTATAGTAACTGGCATGAAAGTAAGCCCGGCGCAGAAATTAAAATTATTAATAAACAACTTACACTGACTACAAAAAATCTTAAAAAGTGAAAACTTATATTTATATACAAGACAAGGAATATATTCACGAAATCTATTGTCAGAAATCTACATAAAATTTGGGTTGACTTTTGTCCCGCGTGCTGACTTATTAACGTTCAAGCGGCAAATAAATTAAAATTAATTTTTCTATGAAACAGAAAAAATTATATTTATAAAGTAAGCTATCTAGCCCCCCGAGGTTGTTGTTTTAATAACCCCGTATGGTCTCGATGAAGTTGAAAATCAATATTTTTCCTTAGGCTGTGGAAATAGAGTTCTTAGTCACGTGGCACAATCCTCACAGTCGAACAGAACAAGCGATACCAGGAGAAGACAATATAGCTACGTGGCGATCGAAACCCAATACTGAAAAAACATGGAGGGATTATGCAAAACTGGCCTGGGATATTAGCCCGACACTGGCAATTTTTTTACCAGAGAGGTGAGCTTTGTTCAGAAGTAAAAAAAATATTTTGCGTTGAAAAACGGAAGTATGTATAATCGTAATCCAATATTGACTATAACAAACATTGAGTTTTAAATAGGATGTAAGCTTATAGCGTTGGAATAGAGGTGATTTTGCATTGTTATTTCCGGAGACAAAGATAAATAATAACATAGTTAAATCACCTTAAAATTCCAAAAAAAATCACGAAGGGGCACCAAATCCATAAAAAAGATATAGAGTATAACATTAAGGACAATCACTATGGGAAAGTCTGAAACTATAAGACATACGAAGATCTGTTCTTAGAAACCGTGTCATCAATTTTAGCGACATGAAAAACTGCGCGTAATCGCGGACGTTTTGGAAAGTAAATTTTATTTTTACTTAGATACTGATTGTGTAGGTTTTATGCTCAATTACGATATAATTCACGATCAACAATACAACTAGATAACGCCTCGCATACTTAAAAAATACACGGCATCATACAATGCGACAACCAAAGATATTATGTTCTTTACACACAGAGTATATTCTGTGATAATAATCTAGACGACAACTGAGCCCCGTAACTGGGTAAATATTGAATCTCGTTGTCAATTAAATTTTTCTTAGGTAAATATACATAAAATTATATACGTTGATAATAAGGGACCGGACAGCAATTGCATAAAAAATGAAATTTGCTAAATAATAATTATTTCTATTTTCAAATCAATCAACGAAAATATAATTTGCTAATATTTGTATTCTGGGTCTCACGTCAAACGAAATACCAATCGGAGCGCATGACGTCATTTGTGAGTAAATTTATATTAAAATTTAAAGCAGTCAGTCTTCTGTATTAATTTATAAGTTTGACTATACGAATATCGTAACACGTCCGAACGTTTGCGCAGTCGCAAATAAACTAAAACAAAATAAGACCTCACTTTGAAATGAGGCGTTATAACTTCGGCCATTTTTGAGACCAACAAGTTGTATTGTTGATCGAAGGTTTTATGTACTTAATGTTACTATGAAAAATTATGCTCGCTATAAATGTGACTTATAAATGATTGATTTTTTTTTTTCTAAAAGATTGAAGAATGAAGGAATTGTGGTAGAAATGAGGCGGAAAGTGCAAGCTCAGCCGACGGCGGTCTGCCACGTGCCACAAGCACTCAAGTATCTCGTCACGACAGAAACTCTGCTTGCCGATGCACACGAGGTATTTGAAACTCTATTATCTATGACAGTCGTCAATATAAATTAGTAATTCTGGTTTAAAGTGATTATTAAAAAATTTGATTATTGAAAAATCGCTCATATGTAATTTAGAATTTTTATTGCACACGACAATTTTCTCAATTAACATGTAACGTGAGGCCTTCATTATGTATGTATGATCTTCAATAAACAATATATTTTGCGAATATGACGTGATATTGTTAATGTACAATCTGACAAAGAGCTCGTCATGGGATATCTCGAGCTCCCGTGCTTCGGAAGGCACGTTAAGCCGTTGGTCCAGGTGCATCTGTCGTTGTTAATACACACCATTCCACACTGGGCCTTCATGGTTCATCATGGCCCATTCTCCCTATTCGATCTGCAGAGCGATTCTGTAAAAATCCGAACCTAAATTCGAATTCACTCATGTGTTCAAATTGACATTATTTAGTGTAGAAATTCTATTGATTCCATTTTTGTATAAAAATACATAACAAGTTTCGTTGTTTCATACGTGTCTCGGATATTCTATTCCTACGTAATTTCGAACTTCACTTCACTTATGCCACGGAACCTTTATTACCAATTCAAGGTTGAGCCTGTGCCGGTCCTAGTGAATTCGAATTCGGGTTCGGATTTTAACAGAATCGCAGGGCTGATTGGGTTCTATCCAAAGTGAAGTCCTGAGCCCCGCAGTGGGGGGTATTAATAGGTTGGTGCTGATGACGATGAATTATTTTGCCCATCCAGCTGGTGCACATGGTGACGTGGGCACGCGTTAGTCCAGTAGAAGCTCTATCGTACTTCAGTCGTCAGTATCCGCCTCATCCGTTATCCGCGCAGACGGCTGTCAGTACGCTCACCTCATATCCATCGTCGGCTGTGTTATTGTATATACCACAGTTGGTTCAAGCTCTGCGACATGATACGGTGAGTGACTACTTTTTAACCGACGACAAAAATGAGGACGTTCTTAATTTGACACGTTTATTACAGATAAGACCAATTTTGATAATTCTTTTTTAGGGTTCCGTACCAGAAGGGTAATACTAAAATTTCGCTGTCTATCACCAGGCTGTATCTCGTAATTCGTGAAAGCTAGACAATTGAAATTTTCAAAGATGATGAATTTTTGTTGCCGTTTCAACAACAAGTACTAAAAACCAACCGATTATAAATTACATGTTAATTTTGGGAAAAATATAACTTAATATATTTATTTTAAACGAAATAGTTATTGTGTACTATACTTTTTGGATTTATTTGTATATTATTTGCCATTTCAACTTTAATTTATATTCTTTTTTTCACAGCTGCTTTATTTGATATACTCGAATCTCTCACAAAGAGTATAGTGGATGGCCTTTCGGGGCCTGCGAGAGCATTCTATGAAAGAGAATTCGATTTCTTCAGTCAAATTACGAATATAAGTGGAATTATACGACCTTTTCCGAAAGGCGCTGAGAGGAAGAGAGCTTGTCTTGAAGCATTGAAGAATATTAAGGTATGGTAGTTTATTTTACACTAAATTCTACGTCGTTACAAACGTCTTACATAAACTAAGTATTATGTAAGACAAAATATGCCTATATACAGCGTGTTTGGTAATACCTGTATAATCCCGAAACATGGCCATACAACCTAACACTAAGAACACAATTGATAGGTCAAAAAACAATTTCATGTAAATTGATATTTTCATACAAATATTTAAACAGAATGAGAATGAAAAACAAATCAAAAGTCCCGAAAGAACGAAAACGTAAGTTGACCTTCTAAATTCTGAAAACTCACAAGTACGCCGATGAAAGTCACGGACGCGACTGACGCGATGACCAAAACTACATAGGTTATTATTATTGCAACTCGAACACCAATGTACCTAAATCAAAAGTGTACCGATTTTGGGGTTCAGCGTCATCAAATTCTGTGTTACGTAACCTACCTAACAAAAAATCGTTATTTTTTTTATTGAATTAAACAATGAAATTTCAAAGTAACTTTTATTTTTTACTGACGAAATTGATAATTAGGCTGTTTACTTATTATTACAATTTTATTTACGCTTTTCACGGTTACAAAAGAAAAAAAGGCCATAATATTAAAAGTGGTTACCTAATTTAAGACCAAGTCATTAACAAAATTATAAGGCATAAAAAAATTATTGATTAAATAAGAAAAGAAAAGAAATATTATTTATTATTAGACCTTTCCATTACAACTAACCTTTATTTAATTATCATTTAAACTAAGAATAAGCGAGATACTTAGATTATTAATATCATTGTATAAGTCCGTTTTTTATTGTTTCGTGAAAATAACACGGCTTTATGAAAAAAATAACAAAACTTCAAAGCTATTAATCTACAGAACCTTACTGACACATCAGAAACCCGAGTTTCTCAATACACATCGTCGTAGATTTTATGTCTCTGTCGCTCCTTCTTGCATTGACTAATGTGAGCAATGGTGCAGATATTGAACTTCAATCAAAGTATTTGCAATTTCTTTTTTATTTTGACTGTATTATTACAGGAGTTTTCATATTAATAGTTTTTGTAACACCGTTAATCACAAGATTAGTTTTTTTTTTACAGTTAAAAGTCATTTACTACAAACTTTTTCTTTGTTTGGAAATAATAAATTCCTCTCAGATGCATATTTATTCTAGGCATTTATCTTTAGATTTATTTAACTTCTGTTATTTTTTAAACTAGTTCGGCACATGGAGTCGATGACCAAATACAACACAACAGCTGTTTTTAGGGTTGTCAGCGTACAGTTTTACTTCGAAGAAAAAAAGCTGAATATCTAGGTCATGTGCTGGGTTTCAGTCTTAGTGATCATTTTTCTGGGTTCTCATCATCATACCGTAAAACACGCTGTATAATGTCTAACATATTACGTCTAAACGAATTTTGACTAAACAATAAACTTAAGGTTTGGCAGTATGGCTAAATTCCTTCGCCACTCCCAAATACGAAGCACCCTACTAATACTGAAATAATCAACAGGGATTGTCGATAAAAGAAGAACTGAATTAACATAGTTGCTGTTTTATAATAAAATTTTCTAAGCTACCATACAGATCATTACAGTTTTTTTTTACACTGAATGGTTTTTCCCTAACTTTTCTTCAAAACCCACGAATGACATCACGCGTTCATTGGTGTTTCGTTTAACGTGAGATACAGACTGCTAACGTGGTTTGAAGAATAGTTTACAAACTTTATAATTTTTTTAAAATTTTGTATTTTATCCGTTTACTCCACAATCCCCTATTATTTTATTAATAAATTGTTCATTTGTCATCAGGTACAACCTGGTTGCTACTTACCGTCGAATCCAGACTCTATGGTTTTGGATATAGACTACAAAAGTGGCGAGTATAATAATATTTTTTAGCAAACTTAGAAGTCCAGCCCTGCGCTTCTGTAAAAATCGAAACCCGAATTCGAATTCACTCAGGTGTCTCAATTCACTTCAAAAGGTGGCATCCACTCAACTTTAAATTGGTAATAACATTTCGTGGCATAAGTGAGTCTCAAAATGACATAGTGATAGAATATCTGAAACAAGTATATTCAATCAATTATGTTTCGTATTTTAATACAAAAAAATGGAATCAATAGAATTTCCATACTAAATGACGTTAATTCGGTCGAATTCGGGTTTGAATTTGTTACATATTTGTTCACTGTAAGATTAATTGACGATCTGAGTGTAAGTTTTACGATAACGCGTACACTAGTCGGCGCGTAAAGAATTTATATGGAGAGTTGCAGTTCTCGATAGTCACCGCTAGGAGCGGAGGAGGGATAAAACATAGCCTATGTTCATCGCCATATGATATAGTTTCCCGTATGTGAATTTTTAAAATAGGTCCAAACATACACACGATCAAATATTTCATATTTCCTTAATATTTCCTATTTTATAATATTAGTATAGATTATGATTGATAAAATATGTTGCTACCAGGTACTCCAATGCAGAGTGCAGCGAAGGCTCCATATTTGGCTAGGTTTAGAGTACGAAAGTACGGTATTGCTGAGATGGAGGCCGTCGCTATGGCTATCGTGTCGGGTGAAGAATTACCAGCCGTAAGTACTTGGTGATAAAGCTCAAATTAACTAAGCGATAGGATCTGTGAATTTAATTGCATTAAACGCTTAATGGTAGTTTATGGGATTACGAAATTGATATTTATTTGCAGTAAAGCAGTAGATTGATGAAAGTTTTAAAATATAACTTATTTCTTCGTTAATTTTAGCTTTTAATATCTTTAATATTGACTGAAACGCTTAAGGTCGCTGCGAATTTAACTAGAAATCCGTCAAGTCTTACGAAAGTATGCGTTAGTACGCGACGGATTATTCATTTAATTTGCAACATTGAATGTCATAACATATTTATTTCAATTCCAACGTTTTGACGACGACTCGTCACGACTCACGTGATGCATTTTTCATTAGATATGCACAAACCCTTAATATGCACAAATCAAACTCGGCTATAGTTTTTATTTGGTTCGTTATTCATTTTTTTGTATAGTACTGCAATATTAGAACTTTTTAGATTTATTTGTATTATTAATAAAATATGTATATGTAGGATGAAGGCAAAGATCGGTACACATCGATCGCGGCGGAAACGTGGCAGGCGGCCATATTTAAAGTGGGCGATGACGTCAGACAGGACATGTTAGCCCTCCAAGTGATCTCGCTCTTCAAGAACATATTCCAACAAGTCGGTCTCGATTTGTATTTGTTCCCGTACAAGGTTGTGGCAACCGCACCCGGAGTGAGTATTTTTTATCATAATTCATAGTATTTATACTTTTAATTTATACCCGGCTAATTACCCGACTGCAAAAGAAGGGTTATGTGTTTCGCGCGTATCTTGTATGTATGTATGTAAATGAAATATACTTTAGTATTTATAATATTGTTTGAATTAATTATGAAAAAACAAATATTTTATCCTCGTATTCACATGACCGCAAACATTGCGTGACGTCACGCCCCTCGTACTCATACTAGAACATAGAGAATTAAACCTTATGCATTCATGCAATGATATTAGTTTCAGAGGGCCGTGACGTCAGAGCCACGCCATGACGGAAGTTGGAGTTGTCGGAGGATATTTTGAACTTCAGATTTATTTTTAGATGTAACTATTGATCGATGATAATTTTTTAATAATTTTTATAGCAAAAAAGTTATCTCTATGCCCCCATTCGATCCCACCCATAGGGAAGGCCTGTGCCCAGTCAGTGGAAGTATTAATAGGCTGGTGACGATTAATTTTTGTGTTTTATCAGTGCGGTGTAATCGAGTGCGTTCCAAACGCCAAATCTAGAGATCAGCTCGGCAGGCAGACTGACATCGGCATGTACGAGTATTTCATCAAGAAATACGGCGACGAGACAACTAGAGAATTTCAGGTAGTAAAATAAATCTTATAAATATTAAAATAAAGAGTAATTCAGTAGCGTAGTGGATAAGCGCCGCGGCCCGCGATCGTTGTTGTTAAGCAACTTTTATTATTATTATTTGATATTGATCATTGCTTTGTATGGAATGTATGAATGTAGTAATTAAATCTATTTAATTGAGAGTTATCTTCAATTGTTGAAATGTATTCTACAAAATGTAATGTAGGTTTAATTTTTATTTTATGCTGTTTGTTCCTCAATAAAATAGTAAAAAAAAAACTTTGCAAAGATCACTCACGGGATGGGTGACCAAAAACTTATTTTAATGGTGTTGGTATTCCATTGGCTTTAGACTTATTCTACATATGTTAGGTATGCCGATGCTACTTTAAATTGGTAGAACTATATGTTACGGTCTTTAATCACAAATAATTATTTCAGGCTGCTAGAAGATGTTTTGTTACTTCAATGGCGGCTTACAGCGTCGTTGGATTCCTATTACAAATCAAAGATAGACATAATGGCAACATTATGTTAGATACTGATGGACATATCATACATATAGGTATGTTAATGATATCTTACTTGTGTTATATCAGTTTTTTTTATAAAGATTGAGTCTTAAAGTAATGGCATTAAAATTAATTTTAGACTACTTCAATAAAGGAGGTTTTCAATTTGAACTGATGAATTTCATTGAAATGATATAATGTAGCTTATTTTTTTTAAGTCAATATTTGTAATAGTTAATAAATAAACTACATTTTAATATTTTGCCACTTTTAGATGATTATATATCTTCCACCTAAAATAGAGTATATATAACATTTAAAATGTCTATTTAGATTTCGGTTTCATGTTCGAATCGTCACCCGGCGGTAATCTCGGTTTTGAGCCGGATATCAAGCTGACTGATGAGATGGTGATGGTGATGGGCGGTAAGATGGAGGCGCCGCCCTTCCGGTGGTTCTGCGAGCTCTGCGTTCAGGCCTTCCTTGCCGTCAGGTAATAATAATAGCATACGTCCTAAGAAATAACAGGTCGGATAAAAATTTTTTCATATACTGGGTTATTTACAAAATACCACCAACTTCGATGCACTTGAAAGCCGGCAAACGTTAAACTAGAAATTAGGGGAAAAAGAAAATTATATGAACATAAAAGTAGATAGATACTAAAACAATGTTGTTAATAACTACCCTGTTCGTTGCATTTTGAAATTTACTTTTATACAGAAATAAATTTTAATTCAATTTGCGGTTCGAATGTCAATAATGCATCTATGTGGGTACTTCACATAGCACGTGAGCGTGGCGTTATCCTTATGTTATGAATTTAACATAGACCAATAAATGTTACGTCAGTACAATAAAAATTAAGAATTCATTTTTGTTTTTTTTTATAAAAATTAAGAATCAATTAAAGTATTTAGTTTGCTCAAATTCGTTGTTCAATTGTTGCTGTTTACGATGTCAGCTTGCTTGTCTTGTAAACCTAGTTTTTTATAAATAACCTTGTATAGTATGCAAAAACTTGCAATAATGGCTAGTTTACACGTGGTTTAGTAAATTTTAAATATAATTTTATATTATTAATTACGTGCAAATACACAAATAAGTATTAAGTTAACTAGTTATGAGCTTAATTAGAATTAAATTTTAACTTTTGCGTTAACATGTACTTAATCACTTAAAATTAAAAATCTACTTATTACTCAATTACGTGTAAACAAGCCATAAAATTTCATTGAACATTTTGTGGACATTGTTACAAACATTGGCTTGATCTTAACATTAATTAAAGTTTGTAAACGAGAATGCATATAGATTTTTAAATACTTGACACAATTTGCTTTTGTTGGCAACATCACTTTGGCTTTCTCTCCATTTTGTAATGTGTTCAAAAATTAAGTTTGATTACAGTTTATAATAATTATGTATTTGTCGAGTTTTTCCGAGTTTTATGTATTTTCTATTTATATCTTCATGCCGTATCCTTGCGGGGTAGTATATATTTTCGACCCGAAATATCATCAAAATTATTAAAATTTTATTTCCATTTTATAGTATTCAGTGATAATAGTCTTAACAAAATTCTGTGTTACTTACTTCTCCTAGGCCATATCAAGAAGCCATCATATCCATGGTGTCTTTAATGCTGGACACCGGTCTTCCGTGCTTCAGAGGGCAGACTATACGACTTCTACGTTCCCGTTTCGCCCCAAATTCAACAGAGAAAGAAGCGGCTGCTTACATGCTATCAGTTATACGAAACTCCTTCTTAAACTTTAGGACTAGGACGTACGATATGATACAGTATTATCAGAACCAGATTCCTTATTAATTCTCATATTGGATAAGGGGTCAACCTTTGTTGGTTAAGGTTTTGGAATCGGTGGACTTTTAAGTATGGAAATGGTCTAGTCTTATTATCATCATTAATGTTAAGATTCGGTGGAAAAAGTTATGTAAAGTGTATTCAATGGAAGTTCTATTAAATGGAAGGATATGATCAAAACTAAAGCTAGAATAGGGATGACAACTAATTCTTGTTTGTTTGTCCGTCAGGTAGATTCTTGAAAAATATTAAACAACTGCTTTTTTTTTCGTAATCATTAAAATACGGCTATACATTAAGTTAAAACGTCACATGACGTCACGCTTTGGTACATTTTCTACAAAACTGTGAGCCCCCTCTAAACTTTAATGCCTGTATTCTAAGCTATTTATTGTTAAACTGAAGTAGAAAAAAAAACGTATCTAATATTTTTCTATTATCTGACTGACGGACTAAATAGTATTTCTTTTTGTTACCCTTGTCGTCATCTCTATTGTGTATACTTAGTTAAATAAACGGTTTCTTATATTCAGTATTGGCCTGATTATATTAGCCCAATTCTACATGTAATGGAAATGTATGAAAAAGGTTTAATTTCACATGAAAATCGTATGGGGAAGTATCTAAATGTAATAGATTATAGTTACTGCTGAAAATTATTCCCACTTGGTCTGTTTAGTAGACGCTAAAAATGTATTATAATTATCATTGTTATTTAAATTATCATTTGTATCTCATTATACGTACTAGAAATTCTAGATATTGACATTCACTTCAGAGTCTACAAAAGACATCTTTTGATCTTCTTTTTCTCTCTTTGGTAATAACTAGTAGTATCAACACAAAGAATTCAGACAGTTTTCTATATGCATCAATTATTGCAGTTTAATTGAACTTTGATAAAAAACAAATCACATTTTTTTTATGTTGTTGTACTACCTTCTAAACAAAATTAAAATGCTCTTAATTATATTTTTAGGTTTACTTACCCTTAGGGTAAAAGCGGGACCTTTTTTACTGTGTCAAGTTTCAGTGAAGCTTTCAACTCTTATTTCTTTCTGTTATTATTTAAAATCAAAAGGTGTTGTTGATATAAGTATCTGGTTTTTATGTTTGTTTCTGTCATTTCAAACTTTTTATAAAAAACATGTCTTGATTATACGTAATATAAATTATACTTTTAGCAAGCCGACAGGTTTTCTGGTTAAAAACTGTCCAATTTTTGTATTTGATATTTTGAGAGTAGTTTAACTTAATATTGCGTGTACAAAACTCATATCGACGCTGGAAAACAAACACGTAGTAACCTGCAAACCCAAAATGGATATTTAGAGTGGAAAATCTTTATATTCCAAAATATATATATATTTTATTTCCGTATAAATTTACTAAGGAGCACCTTATTTGTTAGCCTGAACGTTTATAGGAATTATTTATCGAAAAAAATAAAAGTCTTTCTGCTCTGAAGAACAATTTTGGTTACTATGCGTTTGCTTTCCAGCGTCGATATAGTCTTTATTTAAACTTGAGTACAGAAGAAAGACGTTTTTTTTATTTCTGAATTATATATTATGGTATGTAAATCTACATAATTGATCTTCTATTTAATATTAATAATTATATCAAGTCTCCAAATCAGTAACGAAATGTGAATGACCATATAAAGGAATGTGTGTTGTTGAATTGCTTTTAAAGTATATTAAATTATTAATAACTTATAGAGTTTAATATTAATACTGTTTTTGACATTCCTGTGATTATGATTACCTTCGTGTTGTTATTAAATAAAATTATTTGGTAAAGGCAATCTAAGATTTTTTATTAATACCTTTTCAATTTCATATCAGAAAAAGATTTTATACAGGGTGAATCGGAAACCATTAACCTCACATAACCAGGTAACCAACATTGTAAACAACTTTTGTTGTACTAATAACCCTGTATATGCCACAATACAGCATTTTATTCGAAATCCATTCCATGAGTTTCAACAAATGATAAGTAATATTCGATCTTTTTCATGCACTTCCTAACTTTGTTACTGTCAAATTTGGGCAAATGTTCTCTGTTGCGATCTGGGAATTTAGTTGAAAATTCACTTTTCTCCTTTTTTGTTCTAATTGTGTTTGTTCTTAGTGTTGTTGTTCCTTTTGTTTTAGCATCAGATAGTATTTTATGCAGATGAGAAAGTGCTGCTTTACAATAGTAAAGTTTGTTTTTCTCACTTGGCCCTTGTAGTATTAGAAAAGTATCTCTTCGCATAATATCTAGGGCAGAGATGTCAGTTTCAATAAGGTCACTCTGTAAATAAAAAAATAATAATAATAGCTTGCAAATAGTTTAGTTATTGCAATATGGAATAGTTTTCTGATATTTTTGAAAATGACTATGTGAACTTCAGAACTCCCACTCAAAAGTTAATAATTCATGTAGAAATACTAATAATAGGTCATTATACAAAAGACAGGATTTCTTTCTAATCTCATGCTAGCCTTTGTAGCTGATTGATTGAATGAAAGCTAAGAAATTGAGAACGGGTCTAAGATTAGTGTAATTTGATATGGAAAGTCAACCAGAAGTTTATGAACTAATTTGAAAACTGTTAATACCAGTTGGGAAGTTGGACCAAGAATTTGATTTCATCATAACATACTTGTAAACACATTTGCGCCACAGCCTCCACAGATGTGGCCAAATCTTCATAATTCACGTTGTTGTGTAAGTTGCCACATATACTGAGTAAATATGCTGTACTTTCTACGGGATCAACTTCACCGTTAAAGTATCTCATAATGAAAGCGTAGGATGCCAATACATTAGATATGTTGTTCCTTATTGCAGGAGATGGCTTGACAGACTGTAAAGGTGTATAATTTTTTTTTATTTATATAGTTAACCTAAATACAGGTGCACATGGTTAACATATAAATTACAAACGATATTGCAAATGAAAACTAAAATTGTGACTGTAAAAACAGAAAGACTTATTATTATTATTATCTAGTACAGACAACTGCAGTCCAGTAAGCTTACTCACAAACCTAATTGTGATCAATTGCAATTGTGCCATTTCATACTCATGATAGGGCACAGAATATGCTAGTATAGTCAATTAAGAGTACAAAATGGCACAATTGCAATGTTTATTGATCACGATTGCTTGTTACATGGTAAAGTCAATTTTCTGCATTTGATTTTAACCCTTAACAAGTCAAAATTGAAGTTCATAATAGGTTTAACATTGAGCGGTAACCTAAATGCTGTTTTAAGTACTTATTGTATTGTATTGTTTCGAGTTGCGGATTATCTTGCATTTATGCAGCCCAGTATCACTGCAACCATTGCTGATCTATTGTGATCTCCACATACTATAGTTCTCGGTCATTCTACAAGGAAATGTAGTATTTTCTTGGCCGTAAGTTCTTTAATATCGTAAGTACTTAACCATTACCATTATTTAGTAGAAAAATTACCGTTAAAGCTGAAAATGGTGGAACATTTAATAACTGAGGACATTTCATTAAAGCATTCTTTTCATCATCATTTTTGTCATCAACATCTTCTACTAATTTCTCTGTTTTACTGAACATCCACCAAGGTTCCCATTGTGGAATTAGAGATCCAAAATCACCTTTACTTAAGAGAGCCTCAAATTCATTCTTTTCATCTGTTGTCAACACCTTCCACAGAGCATCAGGGTCATCAAGATTTAAATCTTTTATTCTTTCTTCTAAACTAAGATCTGCTTCATCATCTGAATCTATTGATTCCCCATCATATCCAACTTTTCTTAAATCATTGAAATCTTCTGGATCATATACATCCTGTTTTGAAATTTTACTAAGTATATCTATCATTTTTTGTTTGGATTCGTTATCAACATTAAGAGATGATAATTCATTATTTACACAGTCTTTGTAGAAACTTTCAGAGCATTCTATGTGCTTCTCAGATTTGTAGCAGTCCAGAGAGCAATAGAATATGCCGCATCGTGGGCAACAGTATTTTTTAGGGTTACTCTCACATCTGAAAACAGTTTTGGTCATTTAAATATCACCAGTTCTGTATTAATAGAATTTTGACAGTAAATTAAAATGAAATCTTAGGATAAATCTAATATATAACGGTCACGTATTAGAAAACAAAGTTAGTTTTCATAAAACGATACTTACATGTTGCATAGATTTTGGGTATTTTCAGAAATAGTTTCTGCCATTTTTAGATCACTGGTTAATGTTTGTGAGTGAAATAATAAATTGCAAGCACGAGTTCTTATTTTGCTACAGCAATTCAAAGTGATAAAACTTTTGTTATTTTTAAGTTTTCTAAACAGCAGCACAACAGTGGCAAGTTGACAACAGCAGCTGATTTTGACATTCTACTTTTTTTTTTTTTTCCCTCTCTTCCCTTTGTTCCTGCGTTTTTTGGGTTGCCTGTTTTTAACGAAGTTACTTTTTTCGTACTTCGTTTAGATAACTTTGCTGTCGTCGACCCGGCAACGGTTTATTTTTGTGGACGGTGAAATGAATTTCGTTTCATACTATTTCATTTTTATTAGTAAGATATCAATATAATACGAAAAAGTACAAATAGAATATGAGTTGTTTATTGAGTTTTGAAATAGTTATTTAAGATACGAGTGCGGAAAATAAGCTTTTACAAATAAGAGCCAAATTGAAAACACGAGCGTAGCGAGGGTTTTCACTGGCACGAATTCGAAAAATCTTTTACGCTCAAGTTTCTTATAACATTTTTCAATGCTTTTTGCGAGGAAATAAAACAAATATATAGGTTTATAAAACTAAGTATGTATTAAAGGTAAAAATTATTTGTTAAAATGAAACGTGATATTTGAACATGTTTTCATGTCATACTCGAAAAACCTTTTACGCTCAAGTTTCTTATAACATTTTTCAATGCTTTTTGCGAGGAAATAAAACAAATATATAGGTTAATAAAACTAAGTATGTATTAAAGGTAAAAATTATTTGTTAAAATTAAACGTGATATTTGAACATGTTTTCGTGTCATAAATTTTTATTTGAAAATATTCGTTCTAGGCTCCTTGAAATACTCTTGCCTCTAAAGTTTGACATATTTTCATCAATTGTTTTTAAATTTCTTTGTTGCTCGGCCAAAAAAAATACTTTTAAGCACGTATGCAGTAAAGAATTTCAGTACATTTTTATTAAACACGTGCTTAAAGACTCACTTTTGGTGTTTACAATGGATTAAAAAAATAGCGCTTTATGAGCAACTGCATTGAAAACTAATTTACTTTTAAACTTAAAAGAAAACCGGAAAGGTTGTCATGGGGAAATCAAGAACGTAACGTGGCGACATCTAGTTTAATTTCGGGTACTAATGTTTTTTTTTAAATATTTCCTCATTGAATTAATTTAAAAAAGCACCTCCACTAGATGGCGACCCTAGTAAAGTTGATCTATGCAGTAAACGAATGGAGCAAAGACAGTCATTTCCATTCCTTTTAACTATACTCCATTCATTATAGCATTAGTCAGAAGTGAAATAAGGTTCTTTTTATGGTATACTTTGTGACAAAATATCAATAATCATGTTACTTTTAATACTGACGGCTAATTTGCTACATATTCACTCAAATATCAGCTGCTATACTTAACTGTTGTCATTTAAGCTAACTATTAAACAAATTTATGAGTATATGACTAACTTAAATGATTTAATAAGTATTACAATAAAAAGTGTCCATTGTAAAGATCCTAAAGAAGCAGGGTTGGATAGTTTCGGCACGATTCTTATGTCACTATAACTCTACCAAATTCAAAACGTTGCCTAACCCCTTCAAGCGTTTCGGGAGTACAGCTTTTTAATTTTGTCAGACTATTATTTATTCATAATTGTTAAAATCGTAATCTGGGATTGTCATCCATTGTGAATGCTACTGTGTTTTCTTCTTGTTTAGTCGTTTTCCGTGATGTTATTGTTTTATTTTTGTTGTTAAGTTATGGTAAATATGGACGATGCCGGTACAGGCCCGAGTGGCCTACAAAAATTACGCTCTAAGCCCCCGTACCTATCCTCAAACTTTGACATTTCAGGGAGTTTTTCCAATGTCTTCATCAATAGTCTAACTTATTACACTTACAATTAGAATTTATCAAAACACACAGATAGTTTCATTTTTAGTTCCATGTTGGCTTGGGACTAAAAGATGAATTTATAAAATGCTTGCCTCATCTCAACCCCGAGGTATCATAAAAAATGGAAAATTGCCCAGCTCTTTCAGACTACCTAACATTCAAAGTTTCAACAAAACTAATATAGATTTTAAAAATTTATCTTGAAAATAAAATGTTCTGCACTGCTGCTTCTATGACCCTCTTTTTTCTAATGTTATAGTGAATGGAGTATAACATATTAAAAAACTGAAATTTTAAAAGTTCGAAACTTAGATATCAATACTAATACGAAAAAGCACTTTTTAAATACTTCAAAGATTTCGGAAACTATTTTATTTTTAAATACTTCCTCTTTAGATTTCTTTTTTTTTTATCCAGTCGTCATTCCCATTATTTATTTACAAATACATAATCTACAAATTTAGATAGTTATTTGCCTAACAATTATTTTAATAAAGGATGCTACTTGCATAATTTACCTGCACGTATTAGAATCAAAAACTGATTTGTCAGTTTATTTACAAAGTTCAAATTTATATCTATACCAGAAACGTAATCCTTAGGAGTACTATTAATCTATTAACGTAATGTACTAGCGACTCTACACCCTTACGTTAAAGCTTATTTTTAACATAATCGAGACAGCGAGACAGACAGCACGCTGTCGGTTGCGATTGCGAAGAACATAGAGAAATATAGTCGCCTCGCAGACCGTGCGTACCGCGTTCAACTATTTAAGCAACGCTTGTAAGTTACCTTCACGCATAAATCAGTAGATCTTGAACTTATCTATCAGTTGATACCCAATAAACAGATAAAAAAATCTCTTTGTTCATTCACGCTTAGTCTCCATCAAATAATTTTATCGATCACAGGAAAGATACTTACTTTAGACTGTCAATATTTCACTGAAGAAAGTTAGTGCTTGCGCTTCATAAAAGTAAAGTAAAAAAGAAGTCCATGTGGAACTTGAATTGAGTCCATTTTTCACATTTTTACAGACGTTTTGTGCAATGTGATAATATGTCAGATGGTCTGAGTCAGAATACTTAGGCTGTGTAGGCTAAAATCCCTTTCTTTTGGTTAATTTAAAAAATGTTGGTTGGCGCCTTGTTGGTAGGGATGTGAGATTAATAGAAAATAATCGATTTAATAAAAATCGATTTTCTTTTATAAATTATAAATCGATTTGTCAATAATCGATTTTAGTGAAAATAAATAATCGATTTTTGCGAAAAAAATCGTTTTTTTTTCTATTATTTAAAATCCTACATGCTTTGCATATTCCAATAATAAACCTAAAAGATTCATATTAACAATTAATAAGATTAAAAAAAAATTATATGAATAAAAAAATTGACAATTCAAAACTAAAAATCAATGTTCTTTTAAACTTTCAAGGTAAGGAATAATAAAACCAAATATCATTATTGATAGAAATTCTCAGTATCTTTAAACGTTATATTATAATAAAAATGAGCACCCCAACAAAATGACAACTTTATTGTCGCAAAAAATTAAATATAATAATAAAAAAAAAAATCGTCATGAATGTAAATGTTTAGTTTTCGATAAATATCAACATACCTACAGATGGCGCCGTTTTTATATAATCAACTTTTAAGTAATAATGCTTCGAGTTTTTTTATTTGGCGCATAGATGATGCTATTTATGAAAATCGATTTAACCGCGCAATTTATTTAATCGATTTGTTAAAAATCGATTAATATGACATGGAAAATCGATTATAAAAAATCTATTATATTAAAATAATAATCGATTAAAATAAAAATCGATTATTTTTTAACATCCCTACTTGTTGGTTGTCGGCGCGCTTCGTTTTCGTTTATATCAGTAGGGGATTTTAAATTTTTATTTATTCTGTATGTTCATAATTAATATTTATTTTTAATTTAAAATAGACATGATTTTATATCTCACAATAATTAATAAAATAAATACTATGGAAACACAATCCATTAAATCATGCGTTCTCATAGAAGTTTGCTCGACATCATTATCGGACTAAATACGGCTAATTCTGGCTTGTATCTTTTTTGTGATATTTTTAAGTAATGCATTAATCTTCAATGTCGAAACCACAGTTAATAGAAGATTTCTTCGGTGTGTATCTACTTTATAATATAAATCCAAAATTTAAGGGTCGCACTTACGTAGGCTACACCCGCGATCCCAACAGGCGCATAATGCAACACAACAGAGGAACTTGGGCTGGAGGTGCTCACAAAACCAGTAATCGAGGACCCTGGTTTGTATGAACATTTGTTTTCAGTGGAATATTTATCATGTAACTTTCAAATAAGTTCTATTATCATTATTATTATTGTAAATTGTTTTAGGAAAATGGTTCTCATAATTCATGGTTTCCCTAATAATATTTCAGCACTTCGGGTATGTAAGTTTTGTACTGAATTATTATATTTTAGCTTATTTATGATTATCTAATGATTCCAAATTATTTCAAATACTTAACTCTACTCATAACCTAGAGTTTTAATTTTAAAAATATTATATTTTTTTATTACAAACTTTCTTCACTGCTATGATATGATAGTAATGCATAAAATTCCCCATAAATTATATGTTAATTATAATTCTGTCTTTCTAGTTTGAATGGGCATGGCAGAATCCTACAAAAACTATTAGATTACAACATTTAAACTTAAAGAAAATTCCAAGAAAAGAATCTGAGTACCAGTATAAGCTTCGAATCATGTCTGAAATGCTAAGAGTGGGACCATGGTCTCGCCTTCCTTTAATTATAAGATGGTTGGAACAAGAATATTTTGAAGATATACCTGTAAGTGTGTAGAAATTATTACTATGATAGACAAGTAAGGAATTCATAGGATAAATTTAATGAACATTTGTTTTGAAATTATGTAACTGTGTATTACTGTCATACTTCTGCCTGACCCTTCTGGGGCTCACATTTTATTTTTTTTCTTTTATCATAGCTCATATTATATAAGTAGGTGCTTATTTTACCTTCATTGTATCAGTTTTTTGGAATATATTATTATGTTAATTTTAAAAACAACAGTCTTAGGTACAGAACTATATGTGATGATATTTATATTTAGTCTAATAATATTTATGATGCAAATACTTTATCAATATGCTTGAAACTTTATATAGATAATAATGAAATAATTTAAATTTTAGATTGAGAGAAAACCACCAAACCACATGAAAATATGTAATGGTCCAGTGAAAACTCACAATTTGAAGAAACTCACCAACGCTACCATGCCTATGCATGTTAAATGCATGATGTGTTCGAATTTCATTATTGATGCACAAGTAAAATTAACATGTTTGAATCCCAGCTGCGAACTAGTAGCACATATAACATGTTTAGCTGACATCTTTTTGAATCCTGGTGAATTCATCCCCATAGAGGGCCAATGTCCTTATTGTGATACAATTTTAAAATGGGGTGATCTGATAAGAAAAATGAATGGATGTAAAATGGATGTCCATGACATTGAAAGTGATAATGATGAGAGTGATAAAGCATGTGGTGATAGTGATGGGGAAGGTGCATTCACTTGCTCACAGGATAGAGGATTTGTTGACAATAATTCTCACTGGTTTCATTCAACAGATATTGACAATGAATCATTATGACAGATAAATATAATTTTAATATTTACTTATAAGCATTTTTATTTATTATTTAAAGAACACTCAACAATTTAGGCTTTTTTTACTAGGTTTCAAAGATTTAAGCATACATAGGGACAGAAAAAGCAACTTTGTTATAGATACCATGTTTTGATTAATGATTCCAGAATAAGTTAATGGTTAGTTTTAATTTAAATTAATTGACAAAGAAAATTTGAAATAAAGAAAAATACAAAGAAGTTTGTAAAAATATATTTACAGTAGTTACCCAATAAATAAAATTATTATGACTACCAGGTACATTTTCAGTATAAATAATCAATCAAACAATAACACTATACCTAGTTTATAGATCTACATTGTCCTTTTAATTGTTTTCTACTTATGTCTACTTATAAATGGGCACCTACTTAAAATATATATAGGATTCTTAATTTATCTATAAACAAATTTATCAAATAATACATTCATAATACATACAAGCTTATTTGGTTTTATTTATATGAGTTTCAAAATAGATTAATAGTCGTCAAAAATACCATCATCATCATCATCATCAAAGTCATCATCGTCAGCTCCAGGGGGCACGAGGGCACCATTCAACACTTCACTGATCGGTTCTTCAAAACCCAGTACTTTCGCGAACCCATACACCAGTCTCATCACAACAAGTCTCGTAAAATCCACTGGAGTAGTTTCTTTTCTTTGTAATAATAGCTGTTTCTCTGTCGGGTAATCCTTTATTTTCCTCCTTTTCATTTCACAAGAAGAGAACACTAGCAACAAAGTGATAAGGAATAAAAAACTTTTTCGCGCCATTTTTCTGGATAATTTTTTCTTTTTTTTTCAACGCAAAAGTAGCTGGTTACGTTCCGATTGTTTTTAGCTAGCGACTTAACGCATAGTGAAGTTCACGATCGCGTTGCTCAAAGGAAAGTGAAGACAGTAATGTGTCAGCCGAGTAACGGAATGTCGCACGGCCAAATGAAGGCAAACAGCGGAGCGATCGCGTGCAGTCCATTGTGCCAATAAGTATATGGATCGCTTCAAAACGGGCGATCGCATAAGAAACGCATTTACAGTTAGCCATATGGTTGTGTGAAATCTTATTGATGTTTTTGTGCAAATAGAGTGAGGCGGTAGGATTTTTAGTACGACAAGGAATGCGACTTTCGTTTATCGAATCCTCCCAAGTAGCACAAAACACCATTATATCAAACTTATAATAGCACGAGTCCAAGCGTTAAGCATTATAATAAAATCGTATATCAACCGTATTTCTTTTAAACGACTCTTATACGTAAAATTTGCCCCCCCCCCCTTTGTACGACTTTAAGCTTTATAAAAGCTGTGCAATAGCACTACAACTTTTGTATAATAGCATTAATAAAGTCGGGTAAAAGCATTCTAATAGCCACAAAAAGTTCAATTAGTACCTTAAAGTGCTAATTGAACTTTTTGTGACTATATTACAATTGATATGCGTAAATCAAAATTATAATACGTTAATTTAATGTTTTAAAAATGCTTACTGTTTTATTTCCTTTGTAAAAAAAGTATATTTAATAGATTTTAAAAACATATAATCGGTTTAAATTATTGTTTTGTGTAAGTGTCATGACATGTTCTCTTGGCGTCTTTTAAGTATTTTTGAATATTGATTTAAACAGCTCGTTATGTGTGAAATAAGCTGCAAACATCAGTTTGTGGAGTAAAATATACAAGTTTATGGTGTAAAATACACGCGCCTTCGCAAACTTCCTTTAATATAATAAAAATAATAAAAAATTTAACCTAGTAGCAAAAATTTTTGTTGAATTTTAGGCTTTTTAGCATTGTTTTAACAACATAATTGCTTTTACAGGCATCTGTGCAAAAAATAAATGATTATTTACCCCTTTTCATCTGACACAGTTGACTTTAAATATTTTGTAAGAATTGGAAAAAGAAAGCAAATGGCGACTCGTAAAATTAAAGCATTAGGTATTCAAATATGGTGTAGTAGAGCTGTTAATCGTATTATGGTTAGACACAAAACTAAGAGCTCGTAATTCACCGTATAAATTATAATCATTTTTAAAAGCTTCAATTAAATAAGAATACTCTTTTTTCAGTTTTCTTTTATATCCACCTGTTTTCTTTGTTTTTCCCAACGTTTTTTGTCCATGGCGCCAGCGATGCGTATAAAATGACACCATTAGGTAGGTCTAATACAATACATAAAATAATTTTACATTTTAATTTCACATAAAAAATAATTACGATCTATTTATTACTTGTATCTCTATAAATAACTTAATATTGATTAAAATATAGCCTAATGTTTTATAAAAGCATAGATTAAAAAGATAAAGGAGCTTGAGCTTGATTAAAGAATACTTTAAGAACAAATCGGTGCTAAAGTTTTACTAGTTCTTTATTCAATGTGTATATAGGATAAGTATTAAATCGATACAACCATAGGCCATTAGAAACCCTTTGTTTCTAGAAAATGACTAAATACAACTAAGTGCACTAAATAATATTACGTTAATGCTTATATAATATATAATGTTTTTCATATCACCGAAATACGATAACAGCTTTATATTAAAATTACCCAATACTTAAATAGGAGTTTTGACATTGGTATACATTTTTAATTAACCATAATATGGCATTAAGCATTATTAGATAAAATAAATGCCTTTAAACACATTCGAAACTTGACCAGTGCTGATTAAAAATGTTAGTATGACTTTAGGACATAAATCGGTACTTATTTTAGTTAATATATTATTTATGTGCTACTTGGGCTGTAACACCAATTTTTTGATTTGCTTAATATTAGGTGGAAGATCATAATATATTTTTGCTACAATATAATGTGAGAGAGGTATATTTCAAGATTAAACTTAGCCTGCAGTTATTTTTAAAAATCTGGGCTTAGGTATAGGTATTTTAGGTCGACGACACGATGCATGACAAACATCCGCCTTACTTATGATAACTATAACTTAGATACAGATAATTTTATAATTAAAAATAATTACTTATATAGCACGTGACTTGGATTTAAGATTTTATTAATTTAATAATTTTAGCAACCTATCCTTACGATTTTGGATAAACTTATTTGTCTTGTTATAAACTTATCTCGTACTTACTGCCGGTTTCTCAATTGAGAAAAGAACAACATCTCAACTGATTCATTCGCAATAACTTTAGTTTTTTTAATTTTCGCAAGGCGAAAGTCCTAGCTTTTTATCAAACTCCTATCAACTATCATGAAAATCATTAAAAACACTAAAATTATAAACTAAAACCTGTTTAAGTGACGTTTGAGTACAGATCGAGATGTGCTCAACTTTAAATATTCAATTCGGAAACCGGGTGTTAGCCTTAATTACCCTCATGAATTTAGGCTTATCAAAAATTGGTCCCTTATTGTCAAAGATATCGCGGCCCACGTAGCATAAGTAAATATATACTTACCTAACAAAAACCCAACGAATGAAATCGAGAGCCTTCACTCTTTTTAAAATGGGTAAAATACAAAATACTACCTTAATCATCAAGTAGCAGGTTGTAAGTGCACATGAGTAATTTAATGATGAAACGCATTATTCTTTTTTAGTTTGACGTAAGTTAGTAAACTTTTATGTATCCTTAGATATAGGCATCATCCAGATAAAATCTCAATGATAGCAAGTAATTTCTCGTGTATAAGAAAAATGAAGTAACCAAAAGGTAAAACGTATTTAGAAAAAAAAAAACAGTTGAAGTGCGAGTGGTCTTTCTTTTCAATTAAAGATTTCTTCTAGTGTTCAATTATGAGAAAACTTGATCTATACAAATTGTTTGGTCTTTAAAAACAAGTGAGAGCCCTGTCAGTTAGTTGTACACGAATTTTTATGTAGTAGCAAAGAAATTAATAAATTTAATTCAGATCTCGACTGCCCTTTCCCCTCCCACAGAACTGAAGACTGAATCCGTCCTTAACAGGAAATTTTTTTATAATGATTCTTGTAATATAAAGACAAATGAGAGATGAAAGAAATTTAATAAATTATATTTTAAAGTATGCTTATGTATTTGTAAACAATTTTCCTGCTCAATCATTAATGTTTTTTTTTATAATGGTATAGACTTGTTAATGCACCATAGACTACCCAACTTTTCAACTTTATTCTGTACGTTATGTTAAGGTTGCCTCGAAGAAATTGCTTTTTAGCAATAAGGCCGCCAATTGTACTGTTCTGTTACATTTTTACATATTATTCATTTACTTATGGTGTGTACCATAAGAGTCTTCCATTCATTCATTTCATTGATGGCTGCACGTCAGGATTACCATAATATTTACTTATGTCAAATTTTGCATCAAGATTTAAAATCGAATGAAGAAATTTCACCGATTTCTATAGCTTGACGTGTCGTTGACTGTACGTTAATTTTAGTATTTACTTTATTAAACATGACATTTTGGTCCAGTTGACATTATGATACACTTTTCTCACCCTAAATCCTTATTCATTTCTAAATAATGAGAATATTCTGTTACACATACTTTACACTTACCTAACGTTAACAAATACGTCACACTAAGCTGCTGAAATTGCTAATACACTTTCGTTGGACGTTAAGACACGAGATGTTACTTTTTTATGGGCAAATAATTCTGTCACGAAGGCGTCACTACTCGTTAGTTTATTATCGTTTAGTGCGACTATAATCAACATTTAATTCGTGTATGATGGCCATTTATGTGATGGTTCATTTTCGTTTGTCGAGGGTCCTGCCGTGACGGGGCACCTGCCCCGGACGCCAGTGTTAGGGTGGCGCCAAAATCATCATAATATAATATAGTTAAAAAATAATGAGCTTCATAAAAACGACTATTAAAATTCATTTAGTACCCCATAAGCTACACCGGAACAGACATGTTTTCAAAATGCTGCTGTTTCCCCGCCGGTTAGAAAAATATCGTAGATCCGGGTCTGTTTGTGACATCAAACTTCTACGCTTAGGTACTTTTAGAAATTGCATTCCTTATCGTTAGGATAAGACCGCAGAATTGCATAGGTACTTTACTTGTTATGCATTTAAATCTGTCATTATATTATTAAATTGTTTTCATGTCCATATTAGGCAACAGTTTCTATACATGAACGGGACCCATTTCTATTTGTTCGCAAACAAAGCCTTTGTGGCATTGAAAACCATAAAATCAAGTTGTTTCTTGTTTCCATAGTTAAAAAGTTTGTTTTGTTTATCTGTCCGTTAGGTAGATTTATTAGGCTGGTTTTTGTATCACGCTGACCGTCGGTGTTGAAAATCCAATAAGTATATGGTCTCTATAGTTACGCCGACCGCTCAGTGCTGACGAGCGTCGGGACTGAGCCATGCGCGGTCGTAAGCTTTAAGTGTCGGCCCGCTAAGCGGTCAGAGCGCTTAGTGTATGTTTTTTTGACGTTTACGTTCACTGTGGATCGTGAGCGCGTTAAGATTTTAGTATGGAATCCGGAACAGCGCCCCTAGTGGTAACTACCAAGAACTACAAATCTCCATACAAATTCTTAACGCGCTCACTAGTGAACGCGTTAGCGTAAAACTTACACTTATCCCTCTGCGCTGACTATCGCACGCACGCCTCTGCTTGCAGTGAGCGTTTCAGTCAAAGAGTAGTATTATAATTAGGGAGTGTCAAGCCCAGCGGACGCCGTCAGCGTGTACAGTTATAAGGAATGGCGATGATGATAGGAGAAGTGAATGCCTCCGATCCACTCTAAAAATATAAGGATACCAGAAACAAGTTCTACTGCATCGTGGTAACTTATCACTAAACTATACCAATAATTAACGCGTCAAAATTTCTTGTTGACACGCGACAGTAGTTAAAAGACTTGGTTTCGTCATCCTTTTCAAATCTGTTT